ACCGTAAACAATAGGACATAGAGCGGAAAAGCCCGAGGCACCCAAGCCCTTCCAGAGAGGGGGCGTGGTCAAACACAGCTCATTTACATTTAAAGGTACAGACACAGAAACAGCCTGTTCTGAGCAGGGCTGAAATAGAAGGGTTTATAGACATGATCAAACACAGGATCAGAGTGGATTTAGAACAAGACACTTCACAGACATGTTTTAGGGAGCTCTGAGAATGACTTAAACTGGCTAAAAAGGAGTATCATATGTGGCCTTTACATTTTGTTCCCCCATGGGACGCTAAAATGAATCTGTTATTATTATGTGAAATGTTGTAATGCACCGCCACTATCTATACTTTATCTTTGTTTAGACCAGTCGCAGTGACCGCATTGAAATCACTGTCTGAGACTGATGAGCCACCCTGTTCTCAGAGCCGCCTTTCTCCTCCCACCAAGGTTTGCGGGTCTGACCTAACACTAAAGCAGCTTGACCCCACAGCAGGGTCTCTGCTCTACTGACTTTGAACCTGGGCTGAGGTGATGTCAAAGAAAGTACCAGGTTCAAGTTACTGTCCACAAAAAAGAATGCATCTAAGAAATCAAGCTGAGCTCTCCCATGACATAGACACTGTAATTACACATGTACAACTCTATGCATTAGTTTTTATTTTATGTTATAAATATATCAAGTGATTGCTGTTGACTAGGATTTCTGCTTCTTTGCATTTCTTTCCTCTAGTTTTCCTTTGTTTTCTATAGTAATCTGCTGCTGTAACGCTGCAATTTCCCATTTTAGGATTCATAAAATACACCTATTTATGTCTCTGTCATGGACACGTGCCATAAAGGGCATCAAATATTTGTGCAGTGACAGAGCTCTGTATCAGCTCTGGTGGCACGCTGACCCTGAGATCGTCAGGTGATCTAGATTATATCTTGATGTATTATTTTATTCAGTTTTTAATGTTTTTGTACCCTTGGATGACAAACAGTGATTTGCTGTAAATCAAACATTGACCTAAAAGAGGCTAAAAACGTCTCTGCTGAGCCAAAGGGTCAGGACCTTTTCCAGTTTGGTGACTGAAGTTTCAGCAGGGGGTTAAGTGGTGAGTGTGTGCAGCTTGAGTCTGTCCTCTGCATGTCTCACAGCGTTAGAGACAGACCGGGTGAGAGAGTTCATGTGACCTGATGGATCCACACAGAGACAGACTTACGTTTGGAAAAGCTAAGCCAAGCTCAGCTCTGCTTAACCTGAACAACGACCTGATGACTGATAAACACAGACAGCTCGCCTCTTCTCCTACAGTTGCTGATTATAACGAATGAATGCTTCCACCTTTTATTTTATTTAATCTGACTTTCCATCTTGTTCCCTGCAGGCGAGGAGCTGCTGAAGCTGGGGGAGGAGGATGAGCAGGGCTGGTGTAAAGGGCAGCTGAGCAGCGGCCAGGTCGGCCTCTATCCTGCCAACTACGTCCAGGCCCCTGCCTCCTGATGTCCCGCCCCCTCTGCTCACCTAGCCAATGGTAAAACAACACTTGAGATGCCAGGACCAATCAGAAGCTGTTAGTGCTGACAAGTAGACGCCCCCTCAGTGAAACCGAACAGATTTCGGTATCTGACTGTTAAACTCGTCTCAGAATTTTTTTTTCTGTTATTGTTTGAGCTTCATTTTTTAATCCAGCTGGTGGAAAAGTTCACTGGATGTTTACTCAGTCTGAGGTCAATGACAGTTTTGTTTGAAAGAAGCTTTATAGGCAGAGAGGAATGTCTTGAAGCCTGCCAACGTGAACTCACAGAACACTGTAAAAAAAAAAAAAAAAAAAAGAAAGAAAAGGATTCCCATCGAACTTGGACTGGATGTTTTCAAACTCTAGATTTTGGTTTGCAGCTCACAGCCATCTTTTTCTGATACGTCAGAAAAAGCTAATTTGATCAAAGAAAGACAAAGTGGGAGGAGCTAAGGAATCAGAAGTAACAATCGACCGTGACGGACTGTGACTGGCTTAAACATCCATCATCACATCTTGTAAAAATCTGCTCTTCGTAAGGGAATTGTTTGGCACTTTGAGAGAAATGTCCACACTCAATGAGAAATGCATACTTCAAGGCTAGCTTATCTTATCTAAGCAGTAGGAAGTATTTTGGCAAGCACAACTTCATACTCAATGCAGAGAAGTTACAGATACCTTCTTTGACTTTATATTAAGATGGATGACATGTCTCCACCTCCTCATGGTGTACAAAAATGAAGCCAGAATATTCTCGCAAAGAACAGTGACATATTGTGCATTGAAGTCAGAGTCTGTTCAGTAGGGAGTGCCTGGAGGAGCCGGGATATCGACGTCCTGTCTCTTCCATTAACCAAACATATTTAAGTTAATAATAAAAGATAAAACATTATAGATCCCTCAGGTGGATGCAGTTCACAGCAGAATAGATTATTGTGTGGGTTTGAAGCAGTCACTAAAGGTCATGGACAGTTTTATTGACTCTGGTGTTTATCTTTGCTCTGACTGTTACTCCTCTGCTCTGATAATCAGGTGCACTCAGCACTGCAACAAACATGACTCCTTTCAATAGCATTAAATAAGTTATTCAAAAAACACTAGAGAAAAAAGCTCCCTAAGAATTAACTAGAATAACAAAAGTAATGTTGGAAAAATGTAATGTGTATTTATATTTTTGTTTGACCCATGTCCAACATGTTAGCATAGAGGAGGCGGGTTTACGACATAAACTGCAGCCAGGCAGTAGGAGGAGCTCTGAATGTTTTGGCTTCACTTTGGAGAGCTGTCATGTGGTCCATCTTTTTATTCGGTCTGTTTGAGAAGGTAAATCTAGCTTGTCTAGGCTCTGCTTTTGGCTGACCGTTTCCTTCTTTCTAGTCTCTATGCTAAGCTAGCTAAGCTAAGCTTACCAGCTGCTGGTTGCAGTCTGTTTGATGCAGGGATATGAGAGCGTTCTCAAACTTTTCTCTCAACAAGAAAGTGAATAAGCAGATTTTCCAAAATGTCAATCAGTTTGTTTACCCTCAGTATTCTTATCAAAGAATAAATCAGTTACATACATTGAATAATCTTCTTCTGTTTAGGAATTTAAAATACTTTTTGAGTGGCTTTCAGTTTAGTTTTTATGGTTGGGTCATCTAGTGTTCGTCAGAGGAACTGCAGCCTCTTCATCATTGCTCAGCTGTGGTTGCTGAAAATCAAGGAAAAAAACAATGAAAGACTGAACTCAGTGCCTTAGTCAATGAGGCTGGAAATGTTACACAGCGCCGCCCTGCTGTCTGACCCGGGAATTACAGCTGTCTGCAGGGTGAACAGCTGCTGATCATCCCTTAAAAAAAAAAAAGTGAAATCTCTGTTGATACCTTGACTTTAATGTGTAAACTTTGATTATGCATGCAGCATGTGATTGGCTGTAAACCTTTTCATGCCCCTCCCCCTCCACAATAAGCTTAATGACAGTCAGCTTCAGTTATTTTGTAGATTTTTAGGTGCGACACTGAATTCACTTCCTCTCCTCTTTTGATTCTTGTTTTTTAATTGCAATAGCTGTAAGTTTATAATAAGTCTTTTCTTTTAAGAATGGTGTAAACTGTTGCTACCTGTTTCTTTTAAACTTTTTTAAGTAGCATTTTTACTGTCAACTTATTTCTCCGTAATCTGTTACCCTTTTTTGTTTTAGAGATCGTCTTTCTTTTTACCGAGGCTGGGAGAGAGAAAAGTTGACTGTAAGCTTCAGGTCATTTCACCTGTGGATTGTGGTTTGTTGCTGGTCCAAGAGAACTGATTGTGTTTTGTCTGGTTTGGGGATTTCCTGTTTGGTTTTGTGAGGGACCCTCCTCTGCTCTGCTGATTTAGAGCATCGCTAACAGCTAAGCTAACCCATGTAGACTTCCAAGTAATGAGAGATAATTAATGCTATTGTGCTGCTCCTTTGCTTTTATTTCTGTGTACAGAACATAAAGTGGGAAGACATAATAAAAAGCTTTCTGCAGCTGGAAGTTTTGCAGACTTTATTTTGTTCATATGTTATGAGTATTAAGTAGGAAATACTTTAAAGGTGACATTTTCTCCTCGTTTTCAACCAGTTTAAATAAGTCTCAGCGTTCCCAAAAACATGTGTGTGAAGTTTCTTGTTCTAAATCCACTCGGATCCTGTATTTGATCATGTCTATAAACCCCTCTATTTCAGCCCTGCTTAGAACAGGCTGTTTCTGTGTCTGTAGCTTTAAATGTATGAGCTGTGTCTGACCACGCTCCCTCTCTCGCCCCCTTTCTCGCTCCATGTCCTATTGTTTATGGTGAGAAGGCAGACTCAGAGGGCAGAGCAAACACCTAGCTGTGGGAGTGTCACCCACCTGGGGGAGGGGTTACTGCCCTTTGTGATGTCATGAAGGGAAAATCTCCAAACGGCCTGTTTGAGCACACTTTTTTCTGAAAAGTGGAGCAGGCAGAAGACGGAGAGGATGGACTTTTCTCATAATCGGGGGTTTGTACACAGACACATATTAGTGTGAGAACAATATGGTAATGTCCTATATGTGACCCTTTAAAGGCATCTCTGGTTCTGAAAGTAAAAATGGATCAGATCATCATGAAACTAAAATGAGATGAGATGGTCACTCCATGCTACGTCTGTTTGTCTTTGGTTGTTTTTTTTCAGCTTGCAGTCTGAACTTGGATAAGAACATAAGATTTTTTTGATGATTTCAGACCCCGGGAACCTCATTAAATATGCTCATCAAACAATTTGTATTTTTTGCAGACCAAACAGTAGGTACCTCAAAAAGAGAAGTCAGCTTGAGCCAAAGATATGAAAATCTGCAGACAGTTTTATTAAATTGACAAATCGTATTTGTACAGCAAAATCAAATCTCACAATGATGAATCTGTTACGTCTTCGTATTACATGGCATAATCTGAAAAGAGAAAATAAACCTGCACATTGATAAAGTTTGTACACGTAGAGGCCGACGTACTAAACAGGTTATGACAGCTGTGTTTGATAGCTCTGATTGGACACCGTAAGTCAGAACACACATACAGGAACAGAAAGGTTGTTTAGATGTTTTGACTTGGCGTCAGGTCGAAGACGTTTCCTTTGAAATGATCTGCAACCTCAGCTTTAACTTCTGTTACTCAGCAGAATTATTGTGTACATGCTGCACACTCCTCATTAGTGGGATTTTAAATCATTCACATGTATAAATATAAAACCAAACCATAAAAACCAAAAGCAGCAAATCGATGAGATGAGAGCGGCTAATTGTCCAATCAGCTGTTTGCAGATAAGCACCTCAATGCAGGTTAGAGGTGCATCAAGTTAAAGTGCAAAATTAAATATTCAAAAACTAGATGAAAAAATCAAATAAAAAAACAATGTTTCCACGTCTTAAGTTTATATCTAAAGTAACAAATCATTCGCTTTGAAAACAATAATACACTTGAGGCTCGAATGTCGGGAACAAAATGTGGCAAGGGATTTTGTATCTGGGTTTCCAAAACATCCAAACATACATTTTATTATGTTATAAATTACTAAATATTGAGTTCATTTAAAGGCAGGGTTGGTAATTTTCTCCTGATACACTTTTTTAAGATTTTGGTTGAAATTGTCTTTAGGTCCTGACAGACATTAATAACTCAGGTGCTCTGAAAAAGGAACAGAGAAAATCCGTCATCTGTATCAGTTGTAAGCCTGTAAAAACTTTGACCAATTTCTGCCACGAGGTACCAATCTGATGAACCAATCACACGCCTCCCTGTCTCCCTGCTCGCTCTCTACCCCTTGTGTGCACTAGCCCACACTCAGAGTGCATTTAAGTGAGGGGCGTGGCTTTTGAAGGAGCACAGAGGGGAGGGGGTGGATGCAGACGCCGCACTGAGGGAATGCTACTTTCAAAATCATGCTAGTTTTTGAAAATGACCGACCCAGCCTTTATCAGCAGATTTTGTTCCCCTGGCAAAAGCCACATACATTTTATGTGATATGTACATAAAAATAAACATCTGGTTTTTAGTCAGCTCTAGACTGGTATGTCTCCAAATAACCATTCATAACAATGTTGATCTTATGCACTATTCTAAAGCTGCTCTCTGCGTTTTGTTTGTTTGAAGCTTTGTGCTGGACAGGATGTGTACGTCGAGTTAAGACTAGCACAAAGACCAGAGGCCGGGGGAAACAGTCCAAACAACAAACACCTCCGATACTTTTAAAGAAAACTGTTTTAGATGTCGTTTCTATTCATATCCAGTGTTTGAAACACAGACGTAGTCTCAGTGACATCATGTGTTAAAAACTGAATGATGGCCGTCGCCATATTGCACACAATTCTACCCAAATCTTGTTCGATCTGAAAACAAGGATGTGGAGCTGAGATGGGCCTTAAGGCTCCTGGGAAACAGCTACAATACGCCCACCTGTCAGTCAACTCAGCCACACCTCTAATTATGCAAATTTACGGAAATTTTAGCCATCATATAATCCAAATTCACCCCCCTGTAGAGTTTTTACCAATAAAGACTTGAGCTATTTTAGTCCACAATGCTTCTTGAACCAGTCTGTTAACATGTTTATTCCTGCTGTTAAAATGGATGTTTTAATATTTGCTCTAATGGGGAGTCCTTGCCCTTGGAGGCAGCCTCTAGTGGAGACTCAAGGAACTGCTGTTCTTTTTGCATTTCAGCTTTGGCTTCATTTTTCAACTATGCCTGTTGATTTCTTTCATTTTCAAGGTGTGATGACCTGTGCAGACCACAGGAAGTCTCTGCTCCCAGCAGCTGTTAGCAACAACATAAAAAAAACACCCTAAGTGAATCTGAAAGTCTCTGTGACGACAAAGTTGTTATCACATACCTGTTAAGTGGAGCTGATAATGTTCTGTGTGGACTGAACAGCTGTGGCTACTTCAGACGGAGCCTGGCTTGATGTTTCCCCCTGCTTCCAGTGTTTATGCTAAGCTAGGTTAATGCCATTTCAGTGATTTAATTTACTTCTTAGCCCCCTCAGACAGTCTTTGGACTCATGTTTGCATTTCATCTGCAGCGTGTTCACATACAGGATTTTTGTTAGCTTAAATGAGTCTTAAAAAAAAGTAAAAAACAAAAACAAATGACAGTAAATCAAAAATATTCAGACCTAAGGCAAAGCATTTCAATGGTTGAGCAGCTGAGTGCAGGTTAAAGAGCGGGTTTGAAGCTCTTCGATGCCATCATTCATAAATAGAAATCAAAATAATTCACTTCATATGCAGAGATCACCAGCTGTATTCAACATAAGTCTCATGTTTAAATGCTATATCCATATTATAATAACTTACACGGTCACAAAACAACTAAATAAAAGCTGCACTTGCAGGTTGCTGAGTTATAAAACGAAGCCTCTGTGTGTGTTATGTTGTATCGTTAAAGGCAACAGAGAGCAGGGGGTCAGAGGACGACACAGGACGAGGTGAAAATATCCGAACGATCTTTACAATCCAAAACTTGAGGGGCTGGACCAAACGTGTAGATCCGTACTTGGCGATTTGGACGTAAAACTTGTACACCAGTGAAGAAGGTGAGACTTCATGGTTGATGAGAAGAAGAAGAAAAAAACACCACAAAATTCAACTTAAAAGTTCTCAAGACTTAATTTAGCTCCTTGTGCGATTCAGGCAGCCGCAGTCACTTCAAAAGCTGCTCTTCATGCTCCAGTCTCCATTAAATATCACAAAAAAGCATCGGGATCAACCAGGGGGAAAGCAACCCTAACCTCAGAAGCAGCAGCCCTCAGTCACTTATTTAGAAACTTAAAAGATGCCGGACCACCTCACATTCGACCCGACCGAAGTCATTGGCAAAAGCGGATACTTTATTGGGAGCAAAGATGATAATCGACGAACAAAGGCTCCAATCAGAAAGTCAAAACTGCCCTCAAAGGTTTGGAGTATTTGTGGGATTCGGGGCCATTTTGCATCTGATGCAAATATTCAGCAGCAGCCAATAAACAGAAGAGTTCCAGATGTGGGCGCTGGCGTTGGCACTGTGCAGGTTGGCTGGTTACAGACCGGGCATCAGAGAGAAGGAGGAGGAGGAGGAGGAGGAGGAGGAGGAAGAAGATGAGGAAGGTATAGGAGGAGTCTGTCTTTATCGAGGGCTCGTCCTCTACCGGTCCTTTAATTCTCTCGTCACTCGCTTTGTGATGCGACCGCACAGCAGCCCAACCAGAAAGAGGATGCACACGCTCAGTGCGATCATGAGCAGGATGTAGTTCTTGGAGGGTGATGTCATCACCTGGACAGCGAGGTCTGAAAAGCCCTCTGCTGGCGCCACCTGCAGGAAGGAGGGAAAGGTTACCGAGGCAGCTTTTTAGCCATAACTGTGCCATCAGAAAGTTTTCATCCCTACAGGATCTGCAGAACTTTGTTTAATACCCTGATTATTTTATTTATCACCATCATCAGATCATCATTTCTGAATAGAGCAGAAAGACAAGTGATCATATTGAATGAAGGAGTGGAGCTGAAGTTTCACCTTTCCGCCCCAGAGGTTATACACTGTTAAGTAAACATTTGCATGTTGACGTCAACATCGAGCTCAATGCACCGCTGTGCCTGAAAACAACAACATGTGCATTTTGTGTAAACGTGTGCTTGACCCATCGCTCTCAGTGAAAATGTCTCCTCCTGGTGTTTACCTTTGCAGCGTAGCTCCACATGTCTATGCGGTCTTGAAGTCTTTTCTTGCACTCGGGCTGCAGGCGGACTCTCTTGTCTTGTAACGCCTCCATCAGACACGACATCTCTGTGTGGTGAGAGGGAGCAGCAATCAAACACAAGCTTACACAAATCTGTCTCGATAAGCTTGGAAACGTTGCTGAAAATATTTGAATGTCTTGAGTAAAAACACCCACGTCGTCCTCTGCCGGGTGTGATGGCGGCACAGTGGTGTTTGAGATCCAGAGCGCAGGCTGTGTGCAGGACCGGGTCCACAAAGATGTCCGCTTTACTCTCCTTCAGCATGTTCAGGACCTCCTGCAAACAAACAGAAAAATAAAGAAGGGAGGAAGATGGACAAAACAAGGTTTAGTTTCTGCGTCACAATGAAATTCTTCCCGACCATGAGCACAGAGAGGCAGAGCTTTGAGGAAGTTTAAAAGGACCACCAATTAGGGAAAAGATCATTCTAACCCAGAACGTCCAGCAGATACGTGTGCCCTGTGTGTCCGCTCTGCTCTCTTACAGCTCAGCGTAGCCTCGTCCATCAACAATCACAGGCTGTGTTCTCAGAGCGTAGCACAGAGCAGCACAGCCGGAATTCCAGCAGTCATTTTACAGATTCACTTGCAATAGTGCGAGATAATATTATGCATGTTGTAAAAAAACCCTATAAAACCATTTAAAATAAAAAAATAAACACACATACGGTCATTGGTACAGTGTTTTTTTTTTAAATAAACCTGATGTTTTACGGTTCTTTCGGTGTTTGACCTTCCATCCCGCTCGATCTTTTCTGTGGTAACATGGAGCTGAGACGCAGAGCAGTGGAGCCACAGTGGAAGCACACATTAAGGTTTAGCAAACAGTTTCCTGCTAAACTTTTTCCCCTATGTCAGAAACTGTGTGGATTATTGAGGGACCACACCTCAAACACCAACATTTCTGTTAGTTAAAGAAACATTTATCCTAAAGTCCAAAGACACCTGATCACGACAGGAGAGGAGAATTACTTCAAATATATTCTGTGTTGATACTAAAACTGCCTCGTCTCATTAAAACATTGACAATGTCACCTGTAAAAAAACCTGCTCAAGTAGGCGTCGATTAGATTATGATACAAAACTGAAACTGAAACAGTCAGCATCAGTTGATTGAAGTTTGAAGTCATTTTTGAGATTGCCATGGAGACCAAAAGAGCCCAAAACATTTCCAACCATCCACAGAAAGACTTTCTACTGCTTTATCAAGAGAAAGTCCATCCATTATCTATACTGTTGGAGTATGGCTGGAGGGTACACCTTGGTGAACTGGTCATAAGTCAATCACAGGGCATCGAGAAAACGTCCCACAACACGATACTGTTTGGACGAATGATCAGTAATAAGTGCGCTAGATGGAACCATAAAGGTCTTCAGTATTTACCTTTTTACAGGCCTCCTGTTTGATTTTAAGCAAGTTGACCTTCAGACACTCCTCCACCTGACCCGTCTGCTCCTGAGCCGCTGCCTCCTCCGCACACAGCCTGGAGATCTGGAGGAGACGAGGAGGAAGTTATAATCAAGTCAAAAATGTATGGAAAAGAGGTAGTGTTTTTTATCAGTGTGTGTGTGTGTGTGTGTGTGTGTCTGTGTGTGTGCCCACCTCGTCTGTGCAGTGTCTCTGCAGCTGTGGGTCCAGTCTGTAGTCGAGCGCTGACTCCTGCAGAATCACTCTGATCTGGTCCTCACAGTCCGGAGACAACCTCTGAACCAAACCGCAGCCAGAAAACACTCAGTTTAAGAAGAGAACCTTTGGTGTGTCGGAACTCATTCATCTTTTAGACGCTTTATGTTTGGCTTAAGAGGAAAAAAAACCTCATCCATCATTCATTTTAGGAACCAGCACCAACTTTATATGACCCCAATAAACATGATATTTCTACACATTTGCCTGCAATATTTAGATCTTTCAGGTTAAACTCTTCCTTTATGACCTCTTGATACCACTTGTCATACTGTCATCTTCATCTTTATTACATATTTGGTCTCCATTAGAGTTTTAGGATGCTGATTGGAATGTATTCCTGGACTTACCTGGTCGGCATATTTGAGTTTGAGGCAGGCGATGACCTGACCCTCCAGCTCGCTGTCATCGCTCGCCTTGTTCAGGATCGGCTGGCAGAACTTTGGGATGTCAGCTCGACATGCTTTTCTCAACACCGGGTTCAACCTGTAGTCTGTATGAGGAGGAGGAGGATGAGGATGATGAAGGCTCGTCAGCGAGGCGAGGTGAGTGTGTTGAATGAAATGAGGTCCATGTTAGTGAGCGTTTAACTGACCTGTGTTCTGTGTGATCTGTCTCTTGGTGATCATCTGTTTACACTTCGGGTCCATCAGCTCGCTGTTCTTGTTCTGTTTCAGACACTGGAGGACGTTTCTGGCGTCGGCTTCAGTACAGAAACGCTGCAGGAGACAGTTTGTAATGGAAAGTTCATTTTCATTTATTGAGACCTCTGACATTGATAAATGGACTTGAGCTTGTGTAGACGTTTTCTCGATTTACATGTCACCTTCATTCAGCCCTATTCATTATCTCAAAGCTGATGGTAACGGTGGTCTGATATGTCTAATATGTCTGATATGCGTTTTGTGCCTTTATTGTAGAGATAGGACAGTGGATAGTGTCGGAAATCAGGGAGAGAGAGAGAGTGGGGAATGACATGAGGGAAAGGAGCCACAGGTAGGACTTGAACCTGGGCCGCCTGCTACAGCCTCCATACATGGGGAGCACGCCATGTTGCCTGTCCGACTTGTTGCAGACTTGCGATTGGAACTCGGTTAGCTCGGATCTGACGACATTAACAGCCCCACGATTCAGAGTTCAGAGGTAAATGGAACGCAACATAAGTATTTTCTGTGATGTCATTATGTCACTTTAAGAGTGGAACCTTGAATACAAATTGCAGTTTTAAGAGCTAAGTTGTATGAAACCATATCTTTTCATGTTTCATGATACGTTTGCACGCCAAACATTTTAGTAATTGTGGTCGGATGGCTAATTGTAAAGATGTCATCAGTGCTTTCCTCCCCTCTGGGTCACCTTGATCATCTGCTTGCAGACTCTCATCAGCTGATAGTCGAGCTCGGGGTCGCTCATCTCCACCTCCTGCAGCCTGAAGATCCTCTGATGGCAGCGCTGACTCAGCTGCTTCTTCTGCTCCTTCAGACACTCGATCATCTGACGGAGCAGCAGGGAGAGAGAGAGAGAGAGAGAGAGAGAGTCTCAAGTGATATTTACTGAATGTTTTGAACGTTGGGATTTGTCCCGCTGTGTCTCTCTCCTCCTCACCTGAGCGTTTCCAAAAGCCACGTTTGGACACAGACGGCTGATGTCGGACTTACACGGGTCGTACAGCTCGGGCTCCAAACGGATATCTTCAGACTGAAAGAAGAGGAGAGGGAGTGATTCCAGAAAAATATTTATGTGTATTTTAATGTGTTTGTACATGTGTGAGTGTGTATGCGTGTGTTACCATCTCCAGCTCCTCCACTCTCAGCTGTTTCCGGCACTTCAAAGACACCCGCTGCTCTTTGGCGTCCTGCAGCGTGTCGTTCTTCACCGTGGTGCTCAGACAGATCACCACATCCACCCTTTACACAGCAGATTATGTGAAATCAGAAACATGTTTGAAGGAGAACAGATGAAACACAGAAACACAGAAACACAGGGTCTCAGTTTGGTGAATGTTCTTGAGACTCACTTCTTCTTGATGTTCGGACACAAGCGCAGAACGTCCTCCTTACACGCCATCTTGAACTTATAGGAGAACCTGAAATCCTTCATTTGGATCTGGAGTTGAAAAAAAACCCATTTATTAATATGTTTCATGTTAAACTGCAGTGGAGGAAGAAGTAATGGGACTTTACTGAAGTCAACTCATCAACACTGTGGAGAAAAGCCCTGCGTCTTAAATCTTACTCGAGCAGAAGAAGTACAAACATGAGGATAATTAAAAACCTCCAAAGCATTAGTTTGAGATGCTTATAATGCAGACATCCCAAAGAAAATCCAAAAAGACACGCATAGGTAAAGAGAAGCAAACAACGGACTCCCGTTTAAAGGATTTAGTGACAAGTGGGGTATCGAGCCAGCCTATCATAATGCTGAAGTCCCTCCCCTCATATTTAAGAGCAGAGCTTGTGTGACTGTAGTTTGTTTCACTCCATCACTGCTAATCAGCTGAGATTTGAACCGACAGCCGCTGCGATGAGGACTACAGCCTCTGTACATGAGACACTCGACATAACCGCTAAGAGGACATATTATCCCCCTTCTCCACCTTTTCAAACAGTCCCCCTGTGGTCTAAATGAAACATCTGTGCTGTGCTTTGGTGAAAATATAACATGAATCAAGTACCAGAGGAGGTTTGTGACCCTGTATTAAGCAGCTCTCTCAGAACGCTCCGTTTTGGTGTGTGTGTCTCTTTAAATCCAATGAATACAGTAAAGTGATCCTTTGAGACTAATTCAAAAATGATGTTGGCTTCACAAAATAAAGAAATGAACACCGAGCACAACAGAGCTTACAGAGAGAAGCAGATTTTAAAAAACTGACCAGCTGGAAGTGTGTGACGCCGACTGCACACTTGTCGTTCATCTCCTTCTGGTGTTTGTTCTGAACCAAACACTCCATGAGGTCACCGGTATCAGCCTGGTTATCAGCTACATCCTGCACACACACACACACAAACACACATACACACACATTTACCATCTAAACTTTATTTTTGACGAGTAGTTCAAAGATGAGGGAGAAAAAATTCTAGTGAGTTTTTACAAATGTACAGGTTTTATGCCTCCACAGTAAATGTTTGTATTCATGCACTCACATGGCAGTGAGCCTGGGCGACGGGTTCACAGGCTCTGATGAGGAGAGCGTCGATCTGGATGTCCTGAAAGAGACAGAAACACAGACACAGGTGTGTATCATGTGCAGGTGACACAAAGACAACACTCAAATGGACAACCTTATCTTCTCTGATGGTGTCTGCTGAACCTCTTACTGCACACTTGTCGTTCATCTCCTTCTGGTGTTTGTTCTGAACCAAACACTCAGCTACATCCTGCACACACACACACACAAACACACACACACACAATTTACCATCTAAACTTTATTTTTGACGAGTAGTTCAAAGATGAGGGAGAAAAAATTCTAGTGAGTTTTTACAAATGTACAGGTTTTATGCTCCACAGTAAATGTTTGTATTCATGCACTCACATGGCAGTGAGCCTGGGCGACGGGTTCACAGGCTCTGATGAGGAGAGCGTCGATCTGGATGTCCTGAAAGAGACAGAAACACAGACACAGGTGTGTATCATGTGCAGGTGACACAAAGACAACACTCAAATGGACAACCTTATCTTCTCTGATGGTGTCTGCTGAACCTCTTACCTCTGACTCCAGCTCCGTCAGGTTGCCCACGACCTCCCTGCAGGCGGACACCAAGTCCTCCAGATGATCCTGCAGACACTCCAGCTCCTAAACACACACAAGATGGTTTTATTAGAAGGTTTCACGGATCAGAAAGACTTAACAAAAAAAACAAAAAAAACAGGATTAAGTGAAATGAGAGCCGGTATGATGAACTAAACAACCAACAGAGGGCGCTCAAACATTCATCAAAGGTTCATTAAAAACTCAAGTGGCAGGTTTTGGTTCGTCTCACCTGGCCAGTGTCCGTCTTCTCGCTGCACCACTTCCCGAGGTCAGTCATGCAGCGTTTCTGCAGCTCAGGGTCCAACTTCACTTCCAGCGCCCTCTGGTGGAGAATCCTCTGAACCTCCACCTTACAGTCCCGAGATAACTGCAAAGAAAAACAGACACACAAATACATCAATACGCCTTTATAAGAGCATGATACTCCTGATTTTTATCATTCTTTTAACACAGACCAAAGACTGAATATAACCATTTTAGAAAAGCCAATGTACTGCATTGCATTCTTTCAAATGGCCAGCAGGGGGCAACTTATTTAGTTGTAATGTGACTGAACTGAGGCCTAGTCCACACGTAGGCGGGTATTTTTGAAAACTGAGTTTTTTTGTGCGTTTTAGGTCACTGATAACGCACCTTTTGGAAAACCCCTCCCAGGGTGAGGATTGTCAGAAACTCAGTTTAAGGTGTTTTTGTGTAGACGGGGAAAACTGAATTTCTCCGTTTCTCCTGCGTTTGTCGCCATTTTGCGACGCTCTCACTTTTGTTTACATGAGATTAGTGCGATGGCAGACGTTACCAAACTAGTGCGAACGTTGCTAACTGGAGTTTTTACACGCTAACACATACATACACAGTTACTCTCCCACCATGTTGACGAGCAGAGACGGCCTGAATGGAAAACTTTGTATTAGAAAAGGTCATTACAGAGGAATGGCGAGAACATTTTAGCACGTCGATGATGTCGTTTTTGACTTTGCATGCTCAAGATGTTTTTGAGAACTGAGCGTGTGTGGACGGATGGGATTGTGTTTTTAGACATAGGATGAAAACCTTTAAAAAATACCCATCTACATTTGGACTAGGCCTGAAGCTGATGATTCATGGTGTCGATAATTAGTAGCAAGTCTTTAAAACAGTATGACTTTAACTGTCTATGAAAGGGTCTTGTTCATATTTATGAAATGGATTCTTTTGATGGAAGCACGACTCAGACGACCTGTAACCTGAGACTGATTTTTCACATCTCTTAGAAGAAGTGTGAGCAAACTAAAACATCCTTAATTTCCAGAAATGTCTTCATCTCAAGGTCTGACACACACACACACACACACACACACACACACACACACACACACACACACACACACACACACACACACACACACACACACACACACACACACACACACACACACACACACACACACACACACACACACACACACACACACACACACACACACACACACACACACACACACACACACACACACACACACACACACACACACACTGATTACTGAGACCCTGTAATCATAGTCCAGGGTCTCCTCTCAGAAGAGCGTAATTACCAGAAATCAGGACCAGAGACGCTGATTACACAGATATCTGGGCCGAGCAGGACCCACTCAGGCTCCGTCATTACATTCATGCTGTGCAGAAGCTTTAGTTTAAAGAGCAAACCCTCCGAAAACAAATCATTAGAATTCTGTTCAGTGCTGCAGTACGAGCAGAAAGACATTTCATACTTTGATCTGCCGTTAATGCTGCGTTCATGTGCTGAGCCGATGGTCCCAGTTTCCCAGTTGGAAAGTCGTTCCTCCGACTTCAGTGTGTTCAAATGAAGTAAAAATGTTGTAGCAACAACAACAAACAACAAGGATGCTTCAAAGAAGATCTCTTACCTATTTGAGCTTGATAATTCATTATAAATATTTATTTTACTGACTCGATGCACTTTTCTGTCTGAACTGGTTCAGTGTGGTTGAAGTTCCTGTTTCTCATGTGAGCTGTGGTTTATCTGTATTTACATGTTGTCTTCTGGACACCTGTCTTGTTGCCTGCTGCAGATCTTTTTGTAGTTATATTTGAGCAGAAAGTTTCAATACGAGAATTCATAAAAAGTAAAAAGACGGGTGAACTCGGCTGTGAACTGTCGAGTGTCGGGTGTTGTTTGGATCGGCTGTGAACTGAAGAGACAGGAGGAGCCGTTTCTTTCACTGTCCTGGACCCTAACCCGAACAAAGTCTGGCCCTGGATGTGACCTGCAGCAGAGAGATGTTCTGCTTTGGCCCAGTGGTTAGTTCATACACCCCGTGTACAGCGACTACAGTCCTCAAAGCGGGCAGCCTGAGTTCCACTCTGACCTGTGAAACCTTTCCTGAAGCAACAAGTCCCACAATCACATCCCAACACCTCAAATAAACCCAGCCAATCAGGGACTGAGAGATGAAGAGCAAATCTCTCTCTTCATCAAAATAATCGTCATCATTATCAGATAAAGTGCCTGTTAACGTTCTGACCGTTAGAGTGAGGAGAGCCAATCAGCACTTACCTGCTCGTCTGGATTCACCTGCTGAATTTAAAAATATCAGAGTCACACCTGATTCTAAAGTTTTGTTCAGACAATACATAGACTCCAGCGTCAGTCTTTACAAAAGTCTCATAGAGCGTGTGTTTGTGATGTCATCCTTACCCGGCGTCCCTGCTCCTCGGTGCGGTAGGCGTGGCGGTACAGGCAGGAGAAAACGGCGCCCGGCGGCATCAGCTCGCTTGTTTCGTTCCAGCCGCGAGTGTGACAGAGTCGAGCAGCGTCGCCCTGACACTTCTTGTAGAGGATGGGGTCCAGTCTGACGCACAAAGGGAGGAGAAAAGGTGTTATTCATGACCTTGAGACGACCTCAGATCGTAAAGAAAAGGTCAGAGCCATGTGCAGACAGATAACAATACAAAGTCTGAATTTTGAAGGTTTAATGAAAATATTCTGATTTTTTTTAAGTGGAAACAAAGTCTTAATTTGAATATTATTTGGCATATTTCCCTTTTTTGATTTTGTGGACATGACCTTATTCTCTCTGTCAATTGGTGAAGTGAAAATGGATTTACAATAACATCTACTGTATTCTTATTGTTTATTTAACTTTGAACATCAGAGGATGTTTGTGTTGAAGTTGTATTCATGCAATATTCATATTTATTTATTTAATCAATATACTGTAAATGGATTTATATGAATGACTTACTTCCAGTCTCTGGATATGAAATACTGCAGCTCCAACAGTCGGTGTTCACAATCCTCCACCATCTTGTCTGTGTAAAGGTGCTCCATCAGGCACGACAGGATCCTACACACACACACACACACACACGCGCACCACACACGCACCACACACGCACCACACACGCACACACACGCACCACACACGCACCACACACGCACCACACACGCACCACACACACACACACACACACACACACGCGCACCACACACGCACCACACACGCACCACACACGCACCACACACAATAATGATTTATATTAAAGACATCATCATTTGACAGAGGTAAAAAAAAAACTCTAGGGTGATATCCTGATCACAAGAATTGAAGCAGGAATAAAGGCCATACATATTTTTAAGACATTTAAGTCATATTTAGTGTTTAAATTCTCATGTTTTATTTAAAAGTCCTTTATAAGGGAAGATCATAGTTATGGTGGAATTTCTGTAGTTATTTAGATTATAATGTACAGATGTCATTATGTTTATTCACTGTTCTCTAATAGTCAGTCAGACCTGACAGAGTTCAGTTGTTATTAGAACAACAAGTACAGATTAGAGAGTGTCAACTGTTCTTCCTGATATCTGTAAGGATGTTTGGTAGACTTGTTGTCTGCTCCAGTGTTATAGACATCACAGTTTAGTCTAGGTGGGTCAATGTGACCCTGATAATGATAATGTCTTTTAGGATATATGTGATGCCTTTCGAGAAGTTCTGGAGAAGTGATTGAGCAAGACACGAGTACAGAAGTGTGATGTTGAATCATGTCTCCTCGACGAGTATTCATCTGATGTAAAACTTTCATCAACGTAAGCCATCTGAGTCAACTGAGTCTGAGTGTGGAGTCAAGTCTTAGTATTCTTCAACAATAGTGACCTTTGACAACAAGTAAAACTCTTAGTAAATAAATGACACGGGTGCTTAATGTGATCAGACTCCCTCCAGGTGTTCCTGCGACATCATGCTTAAAAAAATGGGCATCAAAACCTGAATCTTCAACTGTGGAGATGAATGTTTGTTTTGTGTCAGTTGGCTTAGAGAGAGTCTCAGATTAACAGGAAGAAACATAAAGGTCCAGTTCTTCTTCTTTTTTATAATGGTCTTAAAACCCCCAAAATCTTGCTTAAAGCATTTTTTCTTTGGCCATAAATCTTTCACAAAAGCAATAATCTTGACAGGCCTTGTTATGTATTATGTACGAGTGTGTGTGTGTGAGTGTGTGCGACGTGTGTGTTTGTTGCTCACATCGGGTCTCCGTTGCGGATGTGTTTGCAGGCGGTCTGGATAACGGACTCACAGGCCTCGTTGAGCGCCCGGTCGATCCTGTAGTCTGCTCCGGGGTCGGCAGACTGGATCAACGTTTGCAGCTGCAGCGGGGACAAAGATTATGGAAACATTCACACTTCAGATCGTTAAGTAGAGTAACATATCGTTTCGTATTGCATCATATCTGACAAATGATCGCTGCAAATCAAACTCATAAAGCAGTTTTTACTCTTTTAGCTTCACAAAGCTTGTATAAAAAAAAAGACGATATTTAAACTATTTTAAATGTTGAGCTTGTTTTAGTTGCAGGTATCTCATGTTTGATTTGTATATTTGCAGGAGAGCAGCTGCTCAAACAGAGCCTCAGTATCCAAAGCTGAACATATATTGTAAACAAACACAGGGAAGTGTAGAAGTCATTTTGGGTAGTTTTCAAACTTCTCTTGTGGAAACAGATTTTAACTTTATGAAATATTAACCGTGAGTATTTAACTGAAGATGCTGAAGCAGAAAATGGGCGAGTAACAGCTTGAAAACTGAATGATTTATGTAAAGTGGTTTTAGAGTTATTCAGAAAACAATTCAACATAAATTACTTAGTTAGATACATTTTGGAGAATGTATCTTACAAAGCGTTGGCCCACACAGAAAGCAAAGTGATGTGTTTGTTAATTACAAAATAGCACAGCAGAACACTGACGCACACGTGTGTAAAAAGAAATATTTACAGCGCTTTGGCAGACGTTGTCCACCGTGGTGCTGCGGTCTCCTCGTCCGATCCTCATCAGGCAGTGCAGCGTGCGTCCTTTGCGGTGCAGGCCCGAGCAGTGAGCCTCGATCTCGGTCCGACAGTGCAGCACGATCTCCGGACTCAGAGAGAAATCCTCCATCAGCATCCGCCTGTAGTCCAGCATCTCCCCCTGACACTCTCCGCTGACAGTACGACCTGCACAGCACAAGAGAAGAAGATCACTGACACAGAAATAAAACACCCATGAGGCATGTATTTACATTTTATTAAAGGGACGGTTCACTGATTTTCAACTTAATCTCTGGGTTTGTTATATAATAAAAAAATAAAATGCGTGCAATTGTTTCAGAATTTCACAGTGTCTCTGGCTTGGGGGGCTGTGAAGCTGCAAAATCAGTTTTTCTTGCAACACAAGTACCAATTATTGTACTATTTTGTAATAGTTATTACATTATTTGTAATTAATGTACTGGGATAAGCACAGATTGCACTACTTTTTTACACTGCAATCACTTGTGTCCTGCATTGTTATGTTAGCATGCTAATGTTAGCGCTCTTTAGTTAGCTCGTAGCTTCATGTAGCATGTAAATGTGGTGGAATTTCTGTAGTTATTTAGATTATAATGTACAGATGTCATTATGTTTATTCACTGTTCTCTAATGTCAGTCAGACCTGATAGAGTTCAGTTGTATTAGAACAACAAGTACAGATTAGAGAGTGTCAACTGTTCTTCCTGATATCTGTAAGGATGTTTGGTAGACTTGTTGTCTGCTCCAGTGTTATAGACATCACAGTTTAGTCTAGGTGGGTCAATGTGACCCTGATAATGATAATCTCTTTTAGGATATATGTGATGCCTTTCGAGAAGTTCTGCAGATGTGATTGAGCAAGACACGAGTACAGAAGTGTGATGTTGAATCATGTCTCCTCCTCGAGGATTCATCTGATGTATAAACTTTGATCAACGTAAGCCATCTGAGTCAACTGAGTCTGAGTGTGTGGAGTCAAGTCTTAGTCATTTCTTCACAATTGTAAATATACACAGAATGACCGTGATCTAAACGCACTTAAGTGACATTCAAATAATCAGTGAGTACGTTCTTCTTCTTCTCTCTAGTCCTTGACTAAAACAGCTTTTATACACAACGAGAGGAGCCGCCGTCCCGTCCATGTAAACACGACTCTGACAACAACACAGCCAGCAGGACTCGAGCTTCTCACACATTGTAGACAGTCATGACTCAGAGAGCGTTTACAATGATATTTTGATTTCTGATATTTTGATATACCCACTCCCCACTAGAAGAATGACAGACCTTCACAGAATTAGATTTTTAAACCTTAGTTTTAAATACAGGGTCCGATGTGTCCTTTGGCACTTCTGATGGTCTCAATAGCAACCTTTGCCATCAGTGTGTGAATGGGTGTGATTGGAGAGGTGGGACATGGGGTGTAAAAAAGTGCTTTGAGTAGTCAGAAGGCTACTCAACTCTTCTTATCATTTACCATAACGGGTTTGTCTTTATGAGTGTTTCGACTCTAAAGCTGATTCAGTTTCGATGACATCATACTGTCATGTGACATTGCTCCGCTGTACACAACACATTGAGGTTTTGGTTGTTCCTTTTTTGTCCTCAGTGTAAAAGAACGCATGATTCCAGCGACAGCATTAACTTACCTACTGAGTGTGAAGAAACAACCCGGCTACACATGTTCTTTATAAGAAAAGCACTGCATAAGCTTTTTGCAACAACTTTTTTTTCCCCCTGGTGGACATACAAAAACCACTTTATGACCTATTTATGGGTCTCGACCCACCAGATTAGAATCATGGGCGTAGATTATCTCTCTGCATAAAGTGTTGTTAAAAACATCTTTCTAGGGGAGAAAACATCAGATTCACCTGAAAATTCAACCACTACAGTTCCAGATTTGCCCCCTACTGCCAACCCGTGGTGACGATTTCAGTATGACGTATGGATGCATCCCCCTGCTTAGTCAAAGTCACCTGACCTCTGCAGAAAACTTGTGTTGCGTTTTGAAGACCGTGATTGGTTTGTTGAAACCCAGGTGCATATAAAAGTTCACCTCAACTCTCCGTCCACTCACCGCGGTGCACAGCAGCCTCCAGACACAGCAGCAGGTAGGACAGTCGGGCCTCGCGGGCTCGCGGGAGGTTTGTGTCCAGGCTGCAGCGCTGCTTCCTCAGGTCCACCTTGCAGGCTTTAGCCAGAGAGTAGCTGACCCTGTAGTCCTGAGAGATCAGCTTCTGACGGGTGGTGAGAGCGTCACGGCACTGTGGAGGAGAATTAGAGATTAAAACTATTTCAATTCATGCACATTGAGTTTCCAGCATGACGTAAGAGTTAAGAGTTGATACCTTTTCTGTCATCGCCTCTTCAAATTTGTGATTGAACAAACACTTGTAGACTTTTCCTTCTCCGGCCTGAGTCTGTGGACGAGAACAAGAAGCTTTAATAACATTAAATATTAAATATTTTCTTCAATAGTTTGCTAGTCCGCAGGTTTTCACATTTTAATCCCAAAGTGTGTTTGTCAATCACCAGAACAAACCTGTTATTATGTTTTTATAGACTGTGTTTTAAAGTTGGACAACAGGTCAGGGGTCAGGTCAACCAATGCATTTTCTGGTGAGCATCTGAAAATAACTGTAACTATCTTTATTCTTTATGCAAATTCTAAAATTAAGAAAAAAGTTAAATAACAAATTTACACCACGCAGTCTCCCATTAGTTTTCAGTTTGTATCTTTTGTGCCAGCCAGAGGTTAAGTGTGAGGACTGTGATATTAAGACGACTAAAGCCCCGTGTCCACCTGGCGTTTCTTTCTCATCGTCAGCATCTTTTTCTTTTTTTTTAAATTGGATTCAACGAGTAGAGAGTGTTTGAAGTAGCAAGTGGCCGCCCGGGGAAAAAGCACAGCACCCAGCATATTTTTTTCCGAGCGCTCAAGTTGAAAAGCTTTCAACTTTTCAGAAAAGTGCTGTAGACGTCATCGCAGCTCTTTTCCAAATGTTTGATATTCCCCGTAGTTTTGCCGCTGTAGGATCGTGTCCTGTAACCACATCCTCTTTGCTCCCAACTGATCAGGAAATAAACGATCTCAAATATAAACATGCAGTAAAAAGTAACAAAGCCGAGTCAGTCATACAGCGGCTGTTGTTAACAGACTGTTGTTGACAGACTGTTGTCATAGAGACAGGACGAACATGCAGCACTTTTCTTCTCAACGCTTCACGCAAATGCTCCCGAGCGGTTTTTTTTCCTAACCGGAAAAAAAACATTATGTGGAGGCGGGGCCTAACTCAACTTTTAGCACAAAGTTGAAGAAACCAAGAAGCCACTGACTAACCGAGTCATTGGACCCTAAAACCGACTAATTTCAATATGATTTGATTACAGGAAGAACATTTTTTATTTGTCCTGAAAGTCTAAACTCCTTACGTTCTGACAGAATCTCTCGCGGTCGTCTCGGCAGGAGAAGTAAAGGTGTCGATCGAGGTGGAAGTCGTCCGACGACAGCTCGGCCACCCTCAGAATCGCCCGCTGACATTCCTCTTTGATTGGATGAGCTTGATCCTTTTGCTCCGCCTCCCTCACTAACGCCTTCTCCAGACAGGCGATCACTTCTCCCTGCGAGTGGACGTCCTGCAGCGACAACGAGGCGGACGAGAGAAGAATCATGGCGAGGGGAACAAGGGGACAAGGAGGAAGGGAGGATATGAGGAGAGAAAGAGAAACTATCAGGTCAGAAGTGGTCGCTGCATCACGATCATAAAAAACACTCAAATCTGAGAGCTGAGACGATCTAAAGTAAATGAATAATATTATGGTGCTTAAACAAACGTTATCTTGCACAGATAATTTCTGAATTAGAAAAAATAAACTTCCATGAAACAGAGTGACGCTCCTTCAGCGTGACCTCTCACCTTTTGTCCCACGTTGATGCTGCCGCAGTGCAGGTTGTTGATGTCGTCTTTGCATTTGTCCATGAAGCCGCAGATCAGTCTGTAGTCGCTGAACACGATGGTGGTCATCTTGGTGATGTACTGGTTGCACTGGTACTCGCTGATGTTGCCGCGGTGATCCACCAGGCAGGACACCAGGTAGCCCCTCCCCCTTTCTTCTTCATTACACTCCTTTATCTGAAGGAATCAAACATGAACGAGGGAGTTAGTACACTGAAGGAGGAAACCCCAAAACTCCTGTTTGAGCAGTCAGGGAAGACAAACTGGAACCTTTCAGGTGAGTAAATGTAAAATAAAAGTGTCCGAGCCCCCTGCGCGGCACTCTGACCTCAGTGATGGTGCTCTTGCAGACCTCAGTGGCCACCGACTCAAACTTTGGATCTGTAGTCAGATTGAGTTTGTAATTCCACAGGAGCTGAGAGAGAGAGGAGACAAACAATAACTCTTCATTACATGTTTACATGTCAGGATGATTCAAGTGACTTTAATGTTTGAGGAAGGATATCTCCGCCTCGGCTGCAGGCTTCTTAAAATATGTCTTTCAAAAGTTTAGTGGTCAAACCGTCCTTTAAGTCCGATCCTGACAAATCAGTTTAGAGCATCTCTATCGGACAGTACGTCATTTTAAAGGTTATTTCATTCAGAAAAAACACCCTAAATCTCTCTTTTATCTTTAGATTCTTCTTCTCTCCGTCTGCCCTTTTTTTTTTTTATTTATGTCTCTATTGTCTTCCTGCCAGTGAGGCTGCAGCTGCAGCAGCCACAGATAAGAGCTTCTGACGGTCAGACCGCCCAGAAAATAACACCACAACAACACAGTGTGTGTGTGTGTGTGTGTGTGTGTGTGTGTGTGTGTGTGTGTGTGTGTGTGTGTGTGTGTGTGTGTGTGTGTGTGTGTCATGTTAATTGCAGCCAGTGCTTTCCTGAGCTGTAATAAAGACTGTCAAAGTGGTCGCTTAAACCTCAGGCGAGTCATGAAGCTGTCTGCCGTTTACTGCTGTGCACTGTGAACACTGAAGGTTATCATGCAGCAGACGGGGAGACGAGCTGCAGGAACCAAACACTGAGGTGCTGGAAACGTGCACAGATTTATTAACCAACCAGTTTATTTAAATCATTTTCTGATGTCATGCATGAACCAGCCATTCGATCTCCTCTCTGAACTCTCACCGCTTTATAATAAAACAGGATGAATGTTTGTGTGTGTGTTAGTTTTGTAGGGAATACTTACATGGTTACAGTCAGGCGCGATCTCAGTCTCCTGCAGAAAAGACACAAAAAGGAATCAGTCAAAGGTTGTTTTTTTTTTTAATCGGTGAAATAAAAGTTTAAGAAGAAACCGTCACACTGTTGTGTTTGAATATTAAGAAAAGTGTATCAACTGAACAGAGAAGTTTGATTAGATTCCTCAGCAGGAGATGGAAACTCTTATAGTCTGCATACAATGTGACTAATATCTGGAGTTGAAACAAACAGATCACCCCTTAAAAAAGAAGAAATCTGGACATGAATCAAAGTTACATTTTGACATTCACTTTCGCTGCAGGGGGGGAAGTACAGGTATGCTATGTGGTAGTGCTCCAACAAAGGGGCTTGCTAGCAAGAAAGTAAAGTGCTGTGTTTTTTTTCATCATAGCGTACATTAACCCCATGGTGTTTGTTGGCTTTTTATTTTTTTAATTATCAAAATTAACTGGAGCAAACGTACCGTTCTTCTACATATATAGCCTTAAGCTTCTTCACCTGCACGCCTGCCACAGAGGGGCCGAGCTGACCGACATCTCCTGTGGTTAATTTACTTACTATAACCTCAATCCACCCCATTTCAAAAACACCAAACTATCCATTTAAGCTCTGTGTGTGTGTGTGTGTGTGTGTGTGTGTGTGTGTGTGTGTGTGTGTGTGTGTGTGTGTGTGTGTGTGTGTGTGTGTGTGTGTGCATTTCAGGGAAACAGGCTTATTGGTCCTCCTACAAAAAATGCATATTCATTAAAACCTGCAAACCTTTATAAGGAGATTAAATGGATGTTGTGTAGCTATGTAATGAAGCTCTCATTCGTCCCTTTAAGTTTCCATAAAGACATTAAACCGACTCTGATTCAAAAGTGCAGAGGGGAGAATAGTACCTAAACCACGCCCGAGTGTTTCCTCCAAACAGGGAGAGGTTCAGAAAGAACAAAGAATCAGAGGCTCTTCACTGACTCTCCCACAACAACATCCTCAACAATCACAGCGAGAAGCTTTCCGTCCTCCTTCACATCACTCCGCAGTAAAAAAGAAAAAAAAGAAAAAAAAGACATGAAAGCGCTTGGTGTTAACTCTGCTCAGCCCACGGGAACAAAGACAGAAAAAACAAAAGAGCCTCCTCCTGACTTTTAAACCGTCAATTCCACTTAATGTTTCAGAGACAGACGAACAAGTGTAATGAGGAACCAAAGTCTCAGCAGCCTCGTCAGTAGAAGAAAAAAAAAACAACCTACCAATTAGTGATACTGGAGTGATTAATTACTGAGGAGATGTTGTACTTTGAAAGCCTTTGAAAGCAGTCTGATCAAACTGAAGTGATAACAGAATCGTACTGTTTCTGCATGAGGGGAGGAGTAATGTGACAAAAAATCCTCCGGGCTAATGTGATACACACAAGACCAAACGTCTGCCTCTGTACACTTAAGCTCACAAAAGCTTCACTGTGGATTTACTGTCGCAGAGTCCTTCCTTGTAAAGAAGTTCTTGGTGGTCTGCAGCACCAGACTGTACCAACTTCCCTTTAATCTGTGAAGAAAAGACGATCACATGACCGTGTGTGATGTGAAGGGATAAATCTGCAGCATGACACAAGCCTATTTTAGCTCAATGTTTTGGTTCAGCTTCGGGTTCAATCTCAGCGATCTTCACAAACCTCCAGCCACAACGGACGACTAGAAATCCAGATCCAAGCGTCCAGCAGGACAAAAGACAAGGTTTGAAACAAGCTGGTGAAAATGTTGCAGCTCGAAAAGAGAAAGATATTGAAGATGTTTCCCTCAGGAGATGAAAAGAGAATGAATGTGAACTCAACATTTATCAGGTGGAAGCAAACATGACTTCAGGAGGTAATCAGCATGTCTGGGAATCAGCGGCTGTTTGCGTACACTTTACTGCCATCATCTGCATACAATACAAGTCGACTCAAGCCTACTCGCTAACTTAAACCAGATAATGAATTAGTATTTAGCCAGGACTGTTTTTTGAACTACAGCCTGGTTTATACTCCTGCATTGAATCTATGCTGTCGTTATGCCGTAGTGGCCTACACCATTGTGAGTTGTGTGTTGTTGGGTCTGTGTAGCTCTTCAATAATCCTTCTATGCTAGTTCTCCAGTTTCCTGTTCTGCCAAAGTCTCTCCTTGTTTGTTAACAGGAAACCATGGCGACTGTAACCAAGCGTATTATGTTGGAGTTGGAGCTGAATATGGAGCACAAATTAATCATAGTGAAATTATTGCCATAAGAAAATAAAGGACTCTGCAGAATTTCGGAAAATGGCAGTGATACCAGAAATACTGTGAATGCAGGATATGAGATCTGTCTCGTGCTGCTGGTAGGAAATGCTCACTTTGGTTGCAGCTTTCACTTCACAGCAGCAGGAGTTGGTTGGGCTTGATGTGCCGAGACAGCTTGTACACAACCCAAAACCTGTCTGGCATCGTGTGGTACGTGTGGTGGAATTTCTGTAGTTATTTAGATTATAATGTACAGATGTCATTATGTTTATTCACTGTTCTCTAATGTCAGTCAGACCTGATAGAGTTCAGTTGTTATTAGAACAACAAGTACAGATTAGAGAGTGTCAACTGTTCTTCCTGATATCTGTAAGGATGTTTGGTAGACTTGTTGTCTGCTCCAGTGTTATAGACATCACAGTTTAGTCTAGGTGGGTCAATGTGACCCTGATAATGATAATGTCTTTTAGGATATATGTGATGCCTTTCGAGAAGTTCTGCAGATGTGATTGAGCTAGACACGAGTACAGAAGTGTGATGTTGAATCATGTCTCCTCGAGGATTCATCTGATGTATAAACTTTCATCAACGTAAGCCATCTGAGTCAACTGAGTCTGAGTGTGGAGTCAAGTCTTAGTCATTTCTTCAACAGTACGAGACTGTAATCTATTACCTAGAAGACAGTAGTTAGGGGGAGACGGTTGGGCTTTGGGCTAAAAACCCTAACCTGTGAAAAGAACCTTTATACAACACAAACAATGAACAACAGAAACACAGACAGGAAATACGATGCCCCCTCCTCTCTAGAGTCGATGCTCACTCAGGTTTCCATGTGGTGGACACTGAAGCTTCAGTGTTTATCCAGCTCTGCATCGGTCTGTAAACCTTTCTGCGTTCTAACCTCTCTCCATTTTTTAAAAAGCATCTCCAATATTGATCCTAGTTTGAGTACGTTTCTGCTCGTGGAGCTTATTAGAAAGTTACTTTCTAATTGCTAAGACTTGACTTGACAGTAAGACTCAGTTGACTCAGATGGCTTACGTTGATCAAAGTTTATACATCAGATGAATACTCGAGGAGGAGACATGATTCAACATCACACTTCTGTACTCGTGTCTTGCTCAATCACATCTGCAGAACTTCTTGAAAGGCATCACATATATCCTAAAAGAGATTATCATTATCAGGGTCACATTGACCCACCTAGACTAAACTGTGATGTCTATAACACTGGAGCAGACAACAAGTCTACCAAACATCCTTACAGATATCAGGAAGAACAGTTGACACTCTCTAATCTGTACTTGGTGTTCTAATAACAACTGAACTCTATCAGGTCTGACTGACATTAGAGAACAGTGAAGAAACCTAATGACATCTGTACATTATAATCTAAATAACTACAGAAATTCCACCACAGATACTACGGCATAGTTTGACCCAAAAGTACGGATAAGGCTTTGGCCAACCCCTCGCTGCTCTCCAGCTCCACATCATCGTTCATATCCTGCTGCTGAAGACGCTTAAGCACAGCAGAGTGGCATCACAGTTGCTATGTCAGCTTTAGAAAGAGTCTTTGTGTTGTGATTTGAAGTTGAACAAAGTGACAGCAGGCATCAACGTGGATTGAAATGAAACCAGTCAATCAAAAGGACAGAGCTGCAGACACTCAGCGGCTCTGAAGCTGCTCTACGGTCCACACAGCGTTTTCACACACTGTCGTTCCACAGGCTGAAGATGACGGAGTGACCTCATCTGGAAACATCCTCGGGCGTGTTGTCTCAAAGTGACTTCAAGTGCAGCAGTGAGTTTGTTTCTGCGTCGCTGTTTGTCAGACATCGATCAAGTGTCGGATATCAGAGCTCAGACCGACACAAATAAATACTGAGACGCTGCATTGTTACCACACGCTGTATGTGTGTGTGTGTGTGTGTGTGTGTGTGTGTGTGTGTGTGTGTCTTTCTCCAGAGATGAAGCAGATTTATAAGAGTAATTTACGTCTTCAGGTCACAGCTGTTCTGGAGTAAAAACAATGTAATTATCTCAGTGAAGAGGACATCGCTCAGAGCTGGGGGTAGGAGTGTGTGTGTGTGTGTGTGTGTGTGTGTGTGTGTGTGTGTGTGTGTGTGTGTGTGTGTGTGTGTGTGTGTGTTTGACGTCAGTGTGCCAGAGGGGTGGGGTGTGTATATCTCGGGGGGGGTGACGTCAATTAGTTGTAAGAATAAAATCCCACACAAAGGCTTTAAAGCATTATATCTCTCTGGTTGTTTCAGAATGTTTTTATTAGTTTGGAACAATCTGCAATGAATTTATTCAGAGGAAACAGTCAAACATCAGAGAGTTTACTAATCTAGTTTATATTATAAGAAGGGTTTATTACTATTTTGTCATTATTTATCTGTTAGAGATTCACATCATAGTTTTCATTTTGAAAACCACATAGATTTAAAATGTGTTTAATTTTCAGGATGATTCCTTTACCGGGCAATTTTCAAATATATATTATTATTTGTTTGTTGACACACACATGAACTCGAAGTATATTTAAATATTTTGTATTTTCAGCTTGAATCTGGCCTGTGAAAATAAAGGGGGGGGGGGGGTACGCCTTTATTGGAAAGACAGGACAGTGGATAGAGTCAGAAATTGAGGAGACAGAAAAAGAGAGTCAAGTCTGAATGTATCTCGATGGATGACTTTTTGTAAATCAGCTGTTCTTTCCCACTCAGCGTGCATACCTGATAACTATAGGAAGGAAACCTGGACATAGTGTTCATGCACATCAGATGACCTGAGCTACCTGCTGCCCTCAGATTCATTGGAGTCAATTTGAAGGTGAAAAAGTAAACAGCTTTCTGTTTTGATTTCAGGAGAAACATGTTGCCAAAAGGTTTGGTGAAAGCATAAAAATCAGGAGCTACTTATTAAAACTTTGAGTTCAGGTTTATATTTCTTTATTCATGGCACTTCCTGTCGTTCTCACACAACTATGTTATCGTTATTGTGAATTGCAGTCTACTTAAGACTGCGTAAGACAAAGAGGAGCAGCTCGTTCTCACATTGGAGATACTGAATCATTAAACAAGTTGGCAATTTAGCTTCAAAATGACTAACACAATTAAACATTTATCTCAATAGTCAGGCCAACATCACATTCACAAACAAAGATTTAACCAAAGGGGCTTCAACATCTTGTAAGCTAACGATGTGGTTTATCCTCAGGCCCTCCGTCCAGATCAGAACCCAAAAACAAAACCGTTAAAGGGGGAGAGAAAATGGAGGAGCGAGCCTCGGAGGAGCTCCAGAGGAGGTTTTTCTCTTCCATACGAGCAGACGCACAATAGATGAGTCATGACAGGCGTGTAATTTGTTTGCTTGTTCTTGTTTCTACCAGCTGAGGAGAGCTTTTAAACTGCGGCTCATTGTGTCCCCAGCTGAGATCGAGATGATTATTCATCTTCTTCTTTCCTTTTATTCACATGTGATGAAAAAAAAACACACAGCTAAAAAAAACAGCATGAAGTCCATTACTTATGATTTCGGTGTAAGGGGGGTTTGAGTTGCTCCCATTCTAAGTATTTCCACTTAGAATAACATTATTAATGCACAGTTTAAATGATGTCACAACATCTTCACATAATTCATAGATATGTTTAAAAGCAATACAATCAAATAAAGGATGTGACCGACCAAAAGATGATGCTTCAATGATTCTAACATGATGCACGCTTCTGACCATTAAATGAGCAATATGTCGCATTTTAAATGGGTACTGCAGTCCAAATTAAAGACATTGGAGAGAGCTGTCTACCCCGAGAGAACCCACTCATGCACGGGCAGAACATGCAAACTCCACACAGGCAGGCTCCTGTCCCACGGGGATTCAAAAACCAGGAACCTCCTCGCTGTGAGGCAGCAGCGCTAACCACCGCGCAGGCCTGATTTTTTTTAGATATACCGTCTAATTTGAAAGACTTCAGTGTACCATAACACTAAGAGACGGCATAACAGGAAGTCCCTCCAGGATTCAGCAGGCGTTTTCAGTCTTTGATGCTGCCCAAAATAAATGATTTTTCAGCAGCTTTTATAAAATTAGCTGCAATGCAAGTTTGGATGTTTAAAGGCTTTTTTTAGTGTGCAACATTTTACACATCCCTTGAGTGAGTGAGTGAGTGAGTGAGTGAGTGAGTGAGACACTATACAGCCTTTTATTGGCTTTATTATTTATTTTTTTATTTTAGTGAGCTGTTTGTCTTCTGACATCCCGTATTGAGATGCTTAATAAAGTGTGTAAAATAATACACAAGGAAACATGTTCTTAAAATGTGTTAAAGTTGAATAAAACTAGGGTGCCGTTTAGTTTGCGCACCACATGTACAGACGATGTTGTCCTCGAAGCGGTTGGCCCGGGTTCACGTCCGACCTGTAGCTTTCCCGCATGTCATTCCCCACTCTCTCTCTCTCTCTCTCTCTCTCTCTCTCCCCAGTCCCCCCTGATATGACACATGACAACAGGAGCACAAGAAATAAGCTGCAAGTCAAATCTTCTGAAACGTTGCAGTGATTGGCCAACATTGCAAGTGTCAAGAAAAATATACGGAGATCGGTTTAATTTGTGTGAATTTGCTGAAATGCTAAATTTGAACATCCTGGAGGGACTGAACATTGTGTCAGCGCTTGAAACGTTGCAGTGATTGGCCAACATTGCAAGTGTCAAGAAAAATATACGGAGATCGGTTTAATTTGTGTGAATTTGCTGAAATGCTAAATTTGAACATCCTGGAGGGACTGAACATTGTGTCAGCGCTTGTGATGACTTGAAGGGAGAATGTGCGACTTTTTGATCCAGTAACCCCTGAGCACCAGCACGAAACCGAAACAAACTTGACTCCTACATACTGGATCCTCCGCTCTCCTCCAGCGACACACCTCCAACCCCTCTTCACTCGAGTTTACACAAAGGAGTTATCCAACTGGAACGTACATTCTTCCTTGAAATATCACAGCAACTTTAAGAGATCACACAGTACTTCTTCAAACAAAGCTAATAACAAGGTTCCACTACAAGAGGGACTTTATGGTGTCAGATATGAAGTTGGAAAAACCCATCCTAAAACTGGGGGCACCGATGGACAAGCGGTTATAGGTCTCATCCCCATGTACGGAGGCTATAGTCCTCCAAGCGGACAGCACAGCTTCTAATCCAACATGCTGCTTCTTTCCTTTCCTGCATGCCTTTCCCCACTCTCTCTCTCTCTCTCTCTCTCTGATTACTTACCGTCCTATAAAATAAAAGGCATAAAAGCAAAACATTACATTTAAAAAAAAAAACCCAGCTGAAATAAGTTGAATAAATCTGCATTTCTGACACCAGCAAAGTTGTTCTTGATGATTTGCACTTCCTTGAAGACTATCAGACGTAGAGGAGATCTCTGAGTGTCCTTTGAGCCGTTTTTATGTGTTTATTTCGTCTGCAATATTGTGAAACACTTTCCTGTTCTCATAGTACTATAAAACACGATCACTTTTTATGTGCAGTTAACGGAACAAAGTTTCAGATTAACAACATGTAAAAAAAAAAAAAGAAATGTTTTTAAATCACATGGCTCAGAGTAAAGAGCCGAACCAGGTCAGTCTGCTCTGCGAGGAGTTCTCTGGCTCGTCTCCAAAACCACACAACTCAGTTAGCAGCAGATTTGTTTTCTGTTCATCGATCGATACGCTGATTAACTCGGTGTGATTAATGAGAAGTCGGATTTAACAAAAAAAAAAACCTCTTCACAATCTCTTTCAAAATAAAAGTCAGAAATAAATCTGTGCATGGAGGCGGGAAATCTGGAAATGATGAGAGAGCGAATGTTTTGTGTTTTTTTTTTCAACTTAAAGAAACAAAAGCAGGACAAGTTTGTTTTTTGTTTCACCAGTGAGTCATGTGAAAGCTGGATGACTGCACACGCACACACACACACACACACACACACACACACACACACACACACACACACACACACACACACCACACACACACACACACACACACACACACACACACACACACACACACACACACACACACACACACACACACACACACACACACACACACACACACACACACACACACACACACTGACTTCACACCTCACTCTGGCTGATACTTACTTCACTGAATTTGCAGTGAGCAGCTGTTGTGTGCAGAGGTGGAAAACCTCAGACAACACCAAACCTTTCACTGAGGTGTTCTGTGAGGACGGCATCATCGCCCTCATGTGCATTTTAGAGTGATTTCCTTTATCGTTTTCAATTTAATTCCCACATATAAAGAAATAGTTGTCAGGTCTTTTAATGCCACGACTACCACCTGACAACATCTCAATTAAAGATCTAAAAGAGCGATTTAAAGCCTTCTTTTACGGTTTACATTCTTTGTCTTCACATCACTGACCTCTGTAAGCATACCAGATGTTTAGCGTGAGTTTTATAATAAGCTGTGACCATCATACAATAAATAACAAGGCTATAAAAAAGAAGATGTGAAAGAGTGACGTTTGCTCTTAAATCAACTCCTGCACAAATCCCTCTTTATTGTGTGTGTGTGATCAGACACTTGTAGTGCGTTTCTGAATGAAATGAGGACGCAAAATGTGGATTTCCGTAGCCCAAACTGATGGAGCTGCAGCCCTCCATCAGCTGTTCACCCTTGCATCAGACTCTCACTGTCAGCCGGGGAGGACCTCACCTCACCGGGACGACACACCCAGCAGACTCCCATCACCTCCAGGGACCGCTGTGAACCCTCAGCCCCGGCCGGTTGTCGCTTACCTCTCTGCGGTCCTGCAGGCACTCCAGCACGGCCAGTTGTTGGTCCAGGTGTGTTTGGGGCAGAGGCGGGTCAGGTCCTCCCGGCAGGCCTCCTCCTCCGACAGCTTCCAACCGGTCGCCCTTCGAGGCTGAGAGGCCCCAGCGGCAGCAGCGGCAGCAGCAGCGGCGGCAGGTGCATCCTTCAGCGGGGGATCGACGGCTCTGAGGACGGGCGGGTTGGGCGGCTCGGCCGGGCCGCTGGCTGCTTTCAAGCCGAAGACGGAGCTGAAGCTGCAGAGACACACGGACGACAACAGCAGCAACAGCAGCTGAGAGCGACTGTACGCCGCCATCTTCACACTCCTGTCAAGTCTGTGTAATGACACCACATCACTTCCGGTCAACGGGTACATAATAAAAGCCTGCTTGACGAGAACAAACACACAACTTCCGGTAATTTAATTTTTAAAAATATCGTTTTGGCAGGAATGGCCCCTAATGTTTTATGAACATTTATGAACAACACTGCTGAGTTGTTATAAATGTTACAGCACCAAAGGCACTGTAAGTAAAATAAATAAATAAAAAACAAATAAATAAATAAAAATAAAATTAATTTAATAGGCTAGATATTATGAAATGTTGTAAAATGTAGTGATTTTTTTTTGTGGATTAGGCTTTTTAATGTTTTGGTCATGTAACATTTCCATTAGTTGTTTCAGACTGTCTCAGTGATGTAAGCCAATAGGCTACTGAGGAAGCATTTTGAATCCCAATGATGTCGGTTGCCATTTTGGAAATGCTATCACCACTTAGGCCTTTAACCTCGAACCAATAGGCCCATAGAAACAGACAAAGAGGCGGATGGGACTCACAGGTCCTTTGGAGGCAGCCTCAAGTGGACCCTGAGAAACTGCAGGTTTTTAAACTCCCACATTGGTTGCCACTTGGCTACAACATGCCCACCTGTGTACTCAACAATGCCCCTTTGTTCATTTTTGGGCAACCCTAAGCTCTCTATGAAACAAAACAGATGTTGTAAAAAAAACACACATACAGTTTTCACCCATACAGATGTTTTCAAGAGAGGCCTAAATCATTTTTTGAACCAGACTGTAAACATTTATTTCTGCTTTTAAAACTGGCATATTAACACAACATCTAATGGGACTGCTTTGGCTTTTGGAGCCAGCCTCAAGTGGCGACTCAAGGAACTGCAGTTTAATGAACATCCAAATAATTTTCAACATCTGAGGTTGCTGCTTGTTTTCATAAACAAATGCGTCCACTAGATTTATGTACGACTTACAGATTTCAGCGTTTGAGTGCTAATGATTTAGAGTTTAAATTTTAAAAACTCAATCTGGGATGTAATTTAATCTCTTCTGTAATTTTAATCTGGCTCAAACATTCTTTGTAATGTAGAGACTTTTAAATGAATAAACTGGGATATTTTTGGACTGACGACACAATGGTTTAACAAGCATCTTTAACGTGCTTTAGGGGGCCACATCAACCTCCACTGCTCAACTGCAGCTGGTGTTCCTTTCCTGTCCTGTCGGGGGAGCATGTTTGGAGGGGTAGAGGTTCGCTGACAATGACTGAAAAGCTCAAGTGTGTAGCCAGAGATCAACACAAATAGGAAGTTATTTATTTCCTTTTTCTAACATTGAAATTTTGTTGTTTATCAGTATTATCAATTTTTTTTTTGCTTTTAGATTAATCTGCTGCTAGAATATCCATGTGTGTGTGTGTGTGTGTGTGTGTGTGTGTGTGTGTGTGTGTGTGTCTTCTTTCCTCCCACAGTGTGTGAGCAGCTGATGGCAACCAGTAGGAGCCATAAATTCTCCCAGTTTAGAGATGACAGCTGCTGGGAGGTTTTTTCTGGTTCACCGCTAACACATCTATCCTGCTGTCTCTGTTAGTTATAACTTTTGTGTTAAAGGTTTCTGTTGTTGTTGTTTTTTATCTTTGATTCACCAGCCACCACCAATTATCTTACAGATCTAATAGAACACAAGAGATGTAGATTATTGGGAGTAATGTTTTTTTAGATCTGAAAGATAATTAATAGATCTTTTGAGATTGAAACAGGAACACTTCTTTGAACACAATCTGGTTTCTTGAGTTTAAGCTTCAAAAAGTTTGTTTTGAAAACCTAATTTTCTTGCTGTGTGTAGAAAAAGTTGCACTGTGGTGTGAAAAATAACCAAGAAAGTAAAACAAGACTTTCACTTTGTTTCACTTTCACTGAAATCCATCTCTTCATTGTATCTTATGGTCACTGTTGAGGAAATTACTAAGACTTGACTCCACACAATAAGACTCAGTTGACTCAGATGGCTTACGTTGATCAAAGTTTATACATCAGATGAATACTCGAGGAGGAGACATAATTCAACATCACATTGTTCAATCACATCTGCAGAACTTCTTGAAAGGCATCACATATATCCTAAAAGACATTATCATTATCAGGGTCACATTGACCCACCTAGACTAAACTGTGATGTCTATAACACTGGAGCAGACAACAAGTCTACCAAACATCCTTACAGATATCAGGAAGAACAGTTGACACTCTCTAATCTGTACTTGTTGTTCTAATAACAACTGAACTCTATCAGGTCTGACTGACATTAGAGAAACATAATGACATCTGTACATTATAATCTAAATAACTACAGAAATTCCACCACAGTCATCTCCCCCCCCTTATATACTTCATATAACATCTTTATCTCATAGATAATTGTTTTTTAAAGCGTTGATCAGAGTATGTTAATTTGTACCTCGCTGTGATTGGATCTCTGTTAAGTTCTCATTACAGTCTGTGAAACAGAAGTAATGAAGCATCCACACAGATGAGAGGAGACGTCAACTGTGAAAGACTTCAGCTGAGCTGATTCAGCGGAAACCAAGGACAGCAGATCATTATCCCTCTGACTGAGCGTTAACTAAGCATTCATTGACTTCATATAAAAGATCTGGTGTCGCCTGGTTTTATCTTCAGATGGATCTTTGTAAATGTCAGTTTTGGTCTTGGACTTTTTTTTTGCCTTTCTTAGATGGGACAGCGAAAGAGAGGCAAGGATTGTTGGGAGGGGATGACATGCAGCAAAAGGCGGGTGGGATTCGAACCCTCGGCCGCTGTGATGAGGACTGTAGCCTCTGTACATGGGTTGTGCGTCATGATCACTAGGCTATCCAACGGCCTCAGTCTTGGTTTCTCTTGACTCGAGTTCACTTACATCATCACTACATCACTTACATCTTTCACTTGCAGAAATCTCAGAACACCGTATGATAGCCTACTGTATGACGATTTCGACTTTCATACTTTAAGTCCGAGTCCCAGTTTGTATTCAGCGTCAAGCCTCCACCTGAAATACTGTCAAATTTGAATATGTATCGTTTTTCATGCATGAAAACAAGTCTTTGATTCTCTAACTTAGCTTTGTACCAAATGTTAATCCAACAGAAGGAAGTAAAGCATTTGTTGGGGACTATTTTCAGTGGCAGATTGATACACATTTGATGCTTTGGGAAATATTTAAGGCGACAGGATGTTGCAGTAGCGATATTCTATATGAATTTATTGATCTTTGCACATTGTATCTTGTTTCCCTTTATCTTGATTTACTGATAGCACATTTCTATCTGGTTTACCATGTTTGTAAGGATTGATGGTATATATTCCTATTTTTATCTTTCTTTTATCTGCCTTGTTCTCACTAATGGGTTATTTTTATCTTGTTTTGTTACCCATGGTTACCCATTTTAGTACTGAGCACTGTTGTCCCTGTATCATCTTTTTCTTTTCCCCCATGCTGTTGATTGTGTGTGGAAAAGGAGACAGGCTCCCTCGCTGCAAACTTCCTGTGGGTACAACATGTGTGACTGTGTTGCTGAGTCACAATCATCTACCTCAGCGATGAACCAGAAAAAACCTCCCAGCAGCTGTCAGCTCTAAACTGGGAGAATTTATGGGTCCCTACTGGTTGCCATCAGCTGCTCACACACTGTGGGAGGAAAGAAGACACACACACACACACACACACACACACACACACACACACACACAAACACTGAACCAACACCTATAAAGGGACCCCTACACTGTGGTGTTTCCCAAATCTCGTTCTGCAGGCAGGACTCAGCTACTGGTCAGAATGGCAGAGTGAGTCCTCACCTCAACTGAAAGATCTGAATCTACAAACTTTTAAGACGCATGAATAACTTTCCATTTTCTCTTTCTCTGAAGGAAAAAGATGTCGTCGGGCAGGAGGAACCAGCTCAAGGTAGAGTAAGATGCTGCTGATGAGGCCCAAAATGTTTTACATTTAATTCTAATTATTTTAAGCCTTAATTGAAGCTTGTTTACACTCATCCTGGACAGAAATATGATAGCCTAAGGAAGACTGAGTTCTTCAACAGATGCTTCAAATCACATTTAATGAAATTTAACATCACATGGGACATTGCGGGCCCCAGCCTATCATCAGCACCTCTGTTAGTACCTGAGGGGGGGCCAGCAAAGAGGGGGGTCTCTTTGTCCCCCCGATCTGCCTCCACAACATTCATATTGAAGGCAAAGCTTCACAGGTACGTAAATATTGCACCTTGAAACAGCAATCTTAGTAAGGGGCTGACAGTGGAGGTCTGCTGCCAGACTGTCTTGTGCTTCATTTTGCATCCAGTGGAGTCGCCCCCTGCTGGTCAAGAATGCAGGTTTAAAGCATTTCACATTGGCTTCACTTTTTTTCAAAACAGACACTTCATCCATGTTGTATATGCAGTCTATATGGATAAGACCCTTTTCACTTTCTTTACAAATCTTTGGTCATGCCCCTTATATCCAGATTGGTGGTCTGGTATCCAAACCTTAAACCTTGTTTGTCTATAAAGTTGGTCTTAAGTTTACAGGTGATTTTTCCTAAAGATATCCTTGTGACCAACACACTCAGTTATGTAAAAATCGATCTCTGTGTTTTGTTTTATTGAAATGTCCCGACCTTTCCTCCATAAATATGAGAAATCGACTGCTCCTCCACAGAGATGACTCCATGAGTTTCCCTCTACTTTCACCTTCAGGTTAAAATGTCAACACTGCAAATATTACAGTATCAGAACTGAGTCATCCTCCTCCTCTCTCCTCCTGAGGTTTTCAGCACTTCTCTGTTTCATATAAAACTGATTTTTTTTGTAAATCTAGTCTGGACATTTGGAGATATCAGCCTGGGCAGGTTTCAATATTCCCTTAATCACGATCGTATTTGCACATTTGCAGCAGTATGCAGCTTATTTCAGACTTACTTGTGGCAAGACAGACTGCTGTGACATGTCATGAGCACCTTTTTACTGATGATTTTAGTACTAATAGATAAATGTTAGTCACCCATTATATACAAGAGAAATGTCAGAGTTTCTGAAGTCTTTTAAATTCAGTTAAATATAATTTATTTGATCCATATCTGCATGTTTTCCTGCCAGAAAAATGTAGAAGATTGTATTAAAATCAATGCACAAAACAAACAAACTTAGCAGAACTTTTAAAATACATCATTTCTAAAAAAAACAAAAAAACAATTGAAATTAGACTAGTTTCAGTTCATCAGTCAGAAAATGGTGCATCCCTCTCATCCCCCCCCTCTTCCTCTCAGAGCTTGCTGCTGCTGATCGGGGAGTCGATGCTGGAGAAGGAGGCGCGAGAGGCTGAGAAGGAGAAGATGACGTTCATCCAGGAAACCTGCCCTGTTCTCTCCATCCCGGGCTGCATGCAGGAGATGCTGGTAAACCTCAAACACCCGTGTGGGTTTCATGACAGCTTATATGTGCCGGTGTGTCATTATTAACAGGCATAAAGTCAAAATCACAACATTGAAAGTCATTACTATTAGATTATATATCACAATTAGAAGATAAAAGACAAAATCATTTGATATAGTCCTAGTTATAAGATCAAAAGCCATTACTATGAGGTACAAAAGCCCAAATAGTGAGAGAAAAAGTCAAATGTATGACTCTTAAATCTCAAGATCGAGAGTTAAACGTCAAACGTATAATGTGTCCTGATGCTACGAGATGAAGTCTAAAATAAAGAAATATAAATTACACAAGTAAATAGCACTATCTACAGATTGAACTAATGAGATATAAAAATAAAAAAAAAGACAGAAAGACATGATTATGAGATCAAAAGACAGCACGCCTATTTCATATCTTTGACTATTTATCTCATAATTTGTTGTTAATTGATTATACTTTGATTTACTGTCATGAATTCCTTTTTTGAATCCCATTTGGCAATATTTTTTATACTCAAGTTTTTATGTATTTCTTTCTCATGCGTGAATTAGCGACCAGTTGCTAAAAAAAGCAGAGAATATTGTCTGATGTTGGTGGAGACCAATTCAGAGCCGATATTCAGAGATGATTTTAGCTTTTTTATGTGATAAAATGTCAGTGTTAACAGCGCCCCCATGTGGCCAACTATAATCACAGAAAATAGTCAATTAATACAGCTTAAATTTAAAACTCTTTATATTTACAGATCACCTGAGTCCTTTGTGAGAATACTGTGATTTTCAGGCATTATTTAGAGCAGGATGTACGACAGATTATATTTCCTTTGTGATATGAAAATGTTGAGAGTTCAGATCTTTTGATTATGGTTACAGTTTGTACCAGTGTTATGAATCCTCAATCTTCAACTCTGTCTTTTCCTATCGATCAAAACTTCAGGAGCTGTGCAGGAAAATTCACAAGCAGCTCGATCTGGTGGACGAGGAGCGATACGACATGGAGTTAAAAGTGACAAAGTCCAACAAAGAGGTGTGTGTTTTAAAGGTCACATCTTCTCCTCCTCTTCAAGAAGTTTAAATAAGTCTCAGAGCTCCTCAAAACATGTCTGTGAAGTTTCTTGTTCTAAATCCACTCTGATCCTGTATTTGATCATGTCTATAAACCCCTCTATTTCAGCCCTGCTCAGAACAGGCTGTTTCTGTGTCTGTAGCTTTAAATATGTAAATGAGCTGTGTCTGACCACGCCCCCTCTCTGGAAGGGCTTGGGTGTCTCGGGCTTTCTTGCTCCATGTTCTATTGTTTACGGTGAGAAGGCAGAACAAACACCTAGCTGTGGGAGTGTCACCCACCTGGGGGAGGTGTTACTGCCCTTTGTGATGTCATGAAGGGAACATCTCCAAACGGCCTGTTTGAGCACACATTTTCTGAAAAGTGGAGCAGGCTAAAGACGGAGACAATGGACTTTTCTCATCATTGAGGGGTTTGTAGACGAACTAGGAACACACATTAGAGTTATAACAAGATGATGAAGTGTTTATAGCACAATATGTTTCCTAGAAAAGGATGACACCAGTGGCATGTTATTTCTACACAAACCAGGTGTTGTTTAACGGTAGTCAGAAGCTTTCTCTGTTTTAAAGCAGAGTGGAGCAAAGCTGTCCATCTTTATTGTGCATTTTTCACAGAAATAAAGTACAGTTCAAACATTTCGGCTGCTATGTTTGGAAACATCCTAAGCCATAAAGCATTAAAGCAGAGAATAGATTTGTAGATAAACTGTCGAATGGATCTAAGTATTTTTTTTTTCCTGTCCAGATCAACGACCTGAAGTTGAAGGTTCAGGATCTGAATGGGAAGTTTAAGAAGCCGGCCTTGAAGAAGGTGAAGATGTCGGCCGACGCCATGCTGGCTGCTCTGCTGGGCTCCAAACACAAAGTGTCCATGGACCTGAGAGCCAACCTGAAGCAGGTCAAGAAGGAGGTCAAAGACGAGGTGGGTGCTTTAGGTTTTGAGACTACTTCTACAAAACAAGCATTCCTTATTAATGATGTGATTGCTTTATCCTGATTTTGTTTCTGTGACAGGAGTTGAAAACAGGCGACTGGAGGAAGAACATCGAAGACAAAGCCGGGATGGACGGCAGGAAGAAGATGTTTGAGACAGACGCTTAAAAAACATTTGTGTGTGACTCTGCTGTTGATCAGCATCGTTTGTTTCTGTGTGTGATGTGAGTCCAGTTTGTTGGAAGTTTGTATAAATGATAAAAAGATGAAATCATGTGTTCTGTGTGTTTTATGGCTGTAAGTTGATTACTCTTGAAGTTCATGTCAACGTCAAGTCACACAGGAACAAAAATGAATAAATACAAAAATTGCAATATAAAGAAAGTAAAACAGCCAATTAAATAGATAGTAGACGGATATATGATAAGTGTTATTAGAGTCAGTGGCGATTCTAGAGTCTGTTAGGGCCTTAGGCAAAAATAAATTGGGGGGCCCTCCAACCAGAGTTCATCACGATTATGTCTATTAGCCAACTCTAACTCCTCTAACTCCTCTTTTTTCCTCTTTTTATTTCTCTCTCCCATAAACTGATAATTCCTCTTCATTTTTCTTTGGTGACGTTCATTGACAACCTTTTTTTTCCCACAGCAATAATGAACGCGACGCTCAGCAGGGCAATGAGAGTGAGTGCTGGGTCTTTATACAGTTTGAGCCACTACTTTGGTTTAAGTTTGTCAGCGCTCAGGGGCCCCCTACTGGGCGGGGCCCCATGCAGTTGTCTGGCTTGCCTGATGACAAGCAGCGCCTCTGCTTAGAGCTAACATTAACAGCAGGCTATAGTGATATACTGTATGTTTCTTATGTCTTAGGTAAACGCAGAACTAACAATAGTCGATAAAAAAGGGGAACAGATTTACTCTTTGTTTCCATAGTTGAGGACAGACACACTGCTGTGGTCTAATGTTTTCATGCTTGTCAAATACTGTTTTGTTGGTCGGCCTCTGGGCCTCCAGGCTGTGTCAGCTGGTTTTGTGAATAACTTAATAACAAATGTGTTTGGGAATCAGCATCTCTCAAGCAGGGCCTCATAATATTAAAAGCCTGGAGAAGAGTCTTGCATTATGCAATATTTATCTTAGAAAGGATGTCCTTGTCTGAATTCAACATGACTTTAGGACTTTGTACTGCTGTTTTATATCCTTATACTTCTGCATTTTACTTCTGTTTTTATTGTTTTTGTACAGGAACACAGCGTCAAATTTGTAAATGTACTTGGAAATAAAACCAGATTAAGACATAAATAATTTCAATAAAATTACAAAAGCTTAAAAATGTATTACTCAGAGAGAGGAAGAAACAAGAGAGGGTTAACTGGGGCCCAGCAGCCTATTTTCATTTTCGTCATACTAAATGCATAGGCAGACAATAACAGTTTAAGATGCAGTGGAAGCAGAAGTGTGTTTTACAGATGATGTGTGGAAAGTTTGGCTTCAAAGTATGAGTTAACTTGAATTTACAAGCCTCCAAGAAATCATTGTAGAGTTTAAGATTGCTAAAAGACAGGTTGAATAGGATTTGTTCATAGTAAGCCTGGATTTTAATTTGCCAAAATCTTCTTTCATAAGATAACATTTTATCAAAAAGCTAACTGAGAAGTTTTTAAATTGAAAATGCTTGTATTCCCTCGGACATTGAAGCCCTAAGAGGACATGAATCCAATATTTTTTATTTTACTCCGTTTGCCGCTGATCAGTAACTAATGTCATTTTCTGGAGATAACAGAATTTAACTAAATTTTTCAGTTCAATTCAAAAGAGGTTTATACATATGGGAAAATCTTAATAATTGGAATTACCAACATTTGTGTCCCAAGATAACAAAATAATTAAATTGACAACCAAACAATTTGTTATCTCAGGAGGAAGCAGCAAAATAAATTGTATGGTATGGATGTATGTCTGCTTAGGGCTTCTGTATTTTTTGCATCATAAAAAACAACAGCTTTTGATACCCCTAAATATTTAGGCTATCTGTTGGCTAGTGTATTTATTTATTTATCAATTCAATTCAATTCAAAAAACTTTATTTGTCCCCGGGGGGCAATTCAAAGGCACACAGTAAATTAACAACAGTGCAAGTATGAAACATTTTAACCTAAATATAAAGTGTTAAATACAACTTAAAACTTAACTTAAAATACAAAATATAAAAAGAGTAGATATAAGTGGACAGTGATCGGACTAACAGATGTAAACAGATGTAACCAGAACTATGTGCAGTAGTGACCAGATGTAAACAAAACTATATGCAGTAAACAACTAATAATATATATATATATATACAGAACTATGTGCAAGTAGGCTAAATACTAAATGATAAGTTATAAGGTGCATGGTGAATAATGTAACAACAGAACTAATATAAACAATATAACTGTAAAGGTAAAAATGAGATAAATAAAGTGACCGTTAGTGCAAAGATGGATAAAGGAATAAAGTAACCAGATCTGTATGAATACTGATACAAAAAGGATAGAATAAAGTTATTATGTATTTATTTCGCATATATTACAAAGGCAAATTACCACCAACATGCACTCTTGAAAATGTTAATTAAATAGAAATAGAGACGGGTTTATAAATGTTTGTATTATTATTATTTCCGTTTTCAATAAAGTTTTTTGGGGGATTTTTTTTCTCCCTTGGGTCACGTGAGCGCATGTGACGTCATGAGCAGACCGTGTGACACAGTGGAGGAAGTAGAGGGAGCTCTCCCATCAGAGACAACAGAGGGCTGGGATTTGATAAACTAAAAGAAGAAAGAAGAAACACGTCGGTAAATCGGTCTTACGGAACAAGACAAAGCGCTTTAGGTCGCGCTGCTGGCCGCTAGCTTCTCCACGAAGAGCCAAAATGACGGCGGCGGTGTTTTTCGGCTGCACCTTCATCGCGTTCGGGCCGGCCATCGCTCTGTTCCTGTTTACCATCGCCCGGGATCCGCTCAGGGTCATTTTCCTCATAGCAGGGTAAGAGTCCATTTATATTAAGTAAACAGAGTGATAGGAAACGTGTCGTGTCTACTCATGTGTCGTGTTTATTCGATAAAACACAGTATTTACTAGTGCTAGCCTGTTAGCTCACGCACCGCTTCAATGAGTTAGCCTTAGCTAAAGGCGTTGCTATGATACAAGACATTAAAACTAAGATACAATATTAGTTAAAAAAAACAAAACTTTATGGATACACGTTTGGACACATTAGCGACAAAAATAAAACTCCTAGGCACCAAACTTTTTTTGTTATTAATAATGTTATTAGTAATTATAATAATTAAGAATGTTATTAGTAATATTAATAATTAAAAATGTTAATTCGTAGTAATAATAATTAATAATACAAAATGGCTTCAGTGCAGCCCCGTTCATGGCTGAAATGTGTGCATGAGTGGAGTTGCAATTTTTGTTGGACTCAGTCCTCTCTCAAGCATCTGTCTCGTAAAATAATTATAAAAATTAATTATTTTTTACACTTTTTAATAAGTAACCTGTACACCAGGGGTTCCCAAACTTTTTTTAGTTTGTGGCCCCCAAAATAAGGGTGCCAGAGACTGGTGACCCCCAATATCTCTGGAGGTGGTTAAGGCATATAACGTAGCACACAGCCAGGCACATGCACTATAGAATATAATAGAATAGAATCACCTTATTGATCCCAAACTGGGAAATTGTGGCGTTACAGCAGCAGGTTATCCAAACACACAATATGAGTAAAAAACACAATGTTAGCAAATCTAAACACAATATAATATTAAATACAAAGTAAATAAGTACTAAAAGATATCAAAACTAAGAATGTGAATATATACAACCAGGATTTAACTAAGCATTACTAGTCTTAAATAGAGAAGATTAAATGTAAATGTGCAGAAACAGAGTTGCAAATGGACAGTATTGACATAAGTTAAAGTGCATGAGTGTAGACATATAATAAGCAGAAACTATACAATATAACGGCGAGTAGACAGACACATGAAGTGAACATGAGTGCAGGGATAATTTGTAAATTTAACATGTGCAGAACAGATTACAGACTAATAGGCCGATCCAAACACTGGCAACACAATATAAAAGAAGCAGAATCAGTAATCTCCATGTAGATACTTTAGAACTAAGTGGACATACAACACTTAAAAAAAAAAATTATGTATTTTAACATCCTTTTTTTCTTCTTATAAAGCTCTTTTGTGTTTTTGTCTGTTTTTCCTCACAGGGCGTTTTTCTGGCTGGTGTCTCTGCTGCTCTCCTCTCTCGTGTGGTTCATCTCAGTTCAGATCAGTAACAAGGAGAGTGCGGCGCAGCAGAAAGGTCTCCTTATCTTCGGCGTGGTGCTGTCCGTCCTGCTGCAGGAAACCTTCCGCTTCGGTTACTACAAACTACTCAAGTAAGTCACACCAGCAAGGGAGCTCATTTCATCTTTTACTAACTCACAAACATATTTCCTGTTTGTGTTTTGATGTTTCAGGAAGCAGTGAAGCCAAAGACTCAAAATCTAACGTTTGTGTGTTTATGTTCTTTTTTTGCTGCAGGAAAGCAAATGAAGGTCTTCTCACTCTCAGTCAGGAGGAAACAATGCCGATCTCCATAAGGCAGCTGGCCTACGGTAACCTCTGTCTGCACTTTACTTGAGCGATTACACCAGCTTACAGATTTCAAAGACACAATAATTATATTCAGCCCATTTCAAATTTTCAAGGACACTCAGTTTCTCTCCTTAAATTAAATTCCTCAGCTTGTGAGAGCAGTCATACAGAATCCAGTTCAAATCAATCCAAAATAAAATGTATGATAGCGAGAACCTTAAATTCTTTCTCAAGCTAAAAGCTAAGACAGGCAGCAGCTGATTGCTTTGATTTGATAACTCCAGATTGGAGGGAAATGGAGCATTTGGAAATTCTCCAGGAAGCATCAAGGCATCAAAATACCCAAGACTCTTGTCAAGATGAGAATACCTTAAAGAACAAAAATGCAAAGAGTTCAGTCATGGACTTCTCAGAATCCATTTTGTAAGATCAAAAACTCTTTTGGTTCAGTATGTCTTGAAAAATGTGATAAAATGACACGGCTCAGTTCAAAAATACCTTCTTCAGTTATAATTTGTTGTATTAACTTAGATAACCTATAAGCTTGGGTCTGTCGGACATCAGAGGTGGACAAACTCTTGTAGAAACAACAGCTTCTGTTACTAAATATTTTCAGTGTAACTTCAGTACCCATATATCAGATTTTTTTAAACGGCTTCTCTGTGGTACTAGTCAATATTCTGGTGTAAGATGTCGCTGTTGAATAAAACCCCTCCTCTGTGGTCGTTCTGTCTCAGTGTCCGGCCTCGGCTTCGGCTTCATGAGTGGAGCGTTCTCGGTTGTGAACATCTTGGCTGACTCTGTGGGACCGGGGACGATCGGGATTCATGGAGACTCACAGCACTACTTCCTGTCCTCAGGTACCAATTTAAACTGACAAAAGTCAGTCCAACAGCTGTTAGCTGCCATGTTTCCTTTGCTTTTTGGATGTATGTCACTTCTTCCTCCCTAGAGGTAGATTTAAATATATAACAAATATGTAGCCTCTAAAATGTCTCGATCGTTTGAACTCCCCCTAATTATAAAAATCACGATATTTACCTTCTCCTTTCCAGCCTTCATGACCCTGGCCATCATCCTGCTCCACATGTTCTGGGGGGTCGTCTTCTTCGACGCCTGTGAGAAGCAGCGCTGGTGGGCAGTGGCCGCTGTCGTCATCAGCCACCTCATCGTTTCCTGTCTGGTGAGTTGATGAAACTGTTGTTAAGCCTTTTTAAATACAGAGAAATGGCAACACATCAAATAAAAAGTAGCTAAATGGCTAGCATACAGCTACTTTCTTTTAATTATTTCCTTTATAACAGAACGCTAGGGTTGGACTTGTGGATGATTATTTACATGTACAGCAGCCAGCAGCACATGAAGACCGATTTGGGATTTTAGAGATTGAGGGCGTGGTCACACTGGCCATCCGTACCGTGCCCAAGCACGCTTCAACCCTAAAGTCCAGTTCGTTTGGCCAGTGTGACAGCTCCGTGCCGTGCTCAGGCACGTTACACTTCCTTGGCTTTGGCACACTTTGCACGAGCACGCGGGTACAGCCTTCATTATGGAGAAATCCAGAGTTTCATGGTGGTATCTGACTAACATGACACGATATAAGCCACAAAGTAGCAGTCATGTTCTCTGTGTTCTCCGATGGGTTACCCTATTTTAAAAATTTTTTTTAATTTATGGCTGTGTCTGATAAAAATGGCTGAAATTAAGCTGCAAAGTCAGTAAAGTAGCTGTCATGCGCAGCTCTCTCTCTCTCTCTCGCCTGTTTGTCAGCTGAGCACGCTTCACAATAACATGCATGTGTTGTATAACAACGTTATGTACAAGAGGTAATCTTGCTTAAGCACGGTTATTCCTGGCCTGTGTGACCGCGCCCTGAAAATAACACTGACTACTGATTAGGCTGCCATTGTGGGGATTTATTTATTTATTGGAATGAAACTAGACATGTTCTACCTTGACTGTACACAGATTTATTTTCACAAGCAATACCAATATGTCTCTGATTGGTCCATGTTGTTCAACAAAATCTAATTTGACAGATGTTAGAGTGCTGCATGACAAAAAATTAAACAACTCAGAATTTTATTGAAACTTTGAGATCGGTTTAAACTCTTTGAATGTTCATCCTTTGTGCTGATATCTGTTACTCTCCTTTGACACACAGACTTTCCAGAACCCCCAGTATGTCACCAGTCTGGTTCCCACCTACGTCATCTTGTTCCTCATGGGCATCTGGGCGTTTTACTCGGCAGGTGGTTCCCTCAGAAACCTCAAACTCTGCCTCACCTGCAAAGACAAGGACTTCCTGCTGGCCAACCACCGGCCCAGATAACGCAGCACGCCAGGCCGTGTGCAGGACTCTTTATCCAAAGATCATTGAGTTCACACACTGAAACACACACAAACACACACACACACACACACTGATCACAGCAAAAAGGGAGTGTTCACCCTCTGTTAATCCTTTAAGACTTAAGTCATCATCTTAAGTATGAAACCCCCAAATGAAAGAGCAGTGGGAGTGTAATGACAGAAAGGTACTAATATGGGAGATCGTTTTGATTCATGTCCAATTCAGAAGATCAGTTTGTAATGCTGAGTTTAATTCACATGCTGAGGTTGTAAATATATCTCTATCTGGCAGACAGCGCCCCCTTTTTGTTGCCTGACGCTCCGGGTGAACCCACAGAGGAACAAAACCTACAAAAAAATGATCGAACTGGCGACACTGTTCACATCCTGTACATAATTCTTCTGACGTTTTCAGCTTTTCTTTGTCGATTGTGTGAAATCTTGTAAGAGGTTGGATTTTATTTCATTCATAAACAAAAACTCTTTGTGTACATATTTCTGCATTTTTTAATGTCCTCATGTGGTTAGTGCAAAGTGTCAGACATTCTCCAGATGTGGACTCTTTGTCTTCAGTCTGCATATAAAAAACGTTGCCTTTGATTGACAGGAGCTGAGAGGAGAACATGACCGGTGTTTATTTGTTTTATTCAACGCTCACATTTTTGATAGTGCGCAAACGTGATGAGTCAATTTAATTTGAAGGAGGATGAATTTTATTGTCTCTAATTTCGATGACTGATTAATCTTCTGAGGAATCTCTAAATCATGAAAGTCAGCAGTTTCTAGTCTTGTACTCGAAATCGGTCTTGGTCTCTTGATCACTTTCTGAAGGTCTCGGTCTCAGACTGGGCGGACTCCAGATTTTAAACAACACCGCCACTGATCAGCTATTTTTCCACGTCATTACTTTGATACTAAAGAAATCCCCCCTTTCTAAAAGAACAATTAACTTTAATTCATTCATAATTAGATTTGTATCCCCCGGTTACGTCCCGGTCTTAAGGGCTGGATGAGTGACACGGAGGCAAACAAGATGATGATTTTTCGGTGATATTTATGGTATTGTCTCGGCCTGGCCCTGTCTTGGTCTTGACCCGGTCTTGATAACTAAATGTCTTGGTCTTGTCTCGGTCTCGGGTTTGTCTTGGTTTCAGTGGGTGTTGTTTTGACCACAACACTAGCTGTTTCTGCCTTTTCTGTTTCATTTAGGATAGAAAATGAGGAGTATTTTTCTCAGATTATTTGAGGACATCATTTTGGACTCTGTGAAAGATCATTATTCACATGTATAGACATTTTTAACGACTAACAGTAGAATAAGGAGGACACTCAAACAGTGAAGAGTCTTCAGGGTGTGAGCACAGAAAGAGACCAGAAAGTAAGAACACTCAATTATGTCCTTTCATGTCTTGATCTGAGAGGAACAGCTGCGTGCAGACCGGCAGCGGACACATTTCCAGAAAGATCCTTCGGCAGCGTTCGTGATGACATTGAGCGATTTTATAGACCAATCAAACGACCACCGTAGTTAAACATTGTCCCTAAAAGATTGTTGTCGCCCAAATTTGAATGAAGAGATTTGCTCATATGACCAAAGACAATGAAACTGAAGTCTGGATCAGAAGGTACCTGAAGTAAAAGAAAAAGCAGCAGGTTAGCAGACAGTTAAAAGTATTTAATACTTTCACTTTGTGCACTCGAACCAACTCGATTGAATGAATGAATCATTCTTAAAAAAAAAGTCCTCGAACATGTGGAGGTTTTTGATTCAGTGATCTTTGAATGTTTTATTTCTTTGCTGCCTTTTTTATGTTGTGTTGTGAGACATTTCTGGAAACGATAAGACCAATACCTGGTACAAACATTGTTTTATTTAGCAGCTGATTTTTTTCACTGTTTATCTTTCTGTACAGTTTGTTAAGCTAATAAGATGACGCTCCGCCATCTTCCAGGATGGGTTTTTAGCAAGTAGATAAAGATGTTAAAATGAAATCTTTTGAGTCCGGCATGTTGCTTTCTTCACTTTTTATCTACACTTTCCTCTAGACAGAGTTGATTGTCCAAGGGAGACCTGAGCAACTCAGGCAGCAGAAAAAACACAGAGTTACAGACAGAGACACAAAGGGAGACAAAGTACAATTAACAAAACACTAAATTTAGCCTGAAAAGAGAAAAACCATCCTGCAGAATCTGCCCCCAAGTCTTTCATTTTTGCCATCCCATTGCACTATGAGATGAAGTAACAAACTTCTTCAATACCAGCCCTAACATCATACAGAAAGACAGACATGCACAGATCATGAGCTGATTCATTGGGACTTTATCGAGCAGTCGGCATGTTTCAAAATAGTGCACAAGAGAGATGGTGCAAAGGCTTTAACCCAAGTACGGTCGTCAAAAACTTAATACACTGATACTCTTTGACACCACATGTTTTTAAACGATATCTAAATGATCAATAGTATCAAAATAGGTCTTCATCAGAATCAGCTTTAACACAAGGAATTTGACATTGGTAAACTGTGCTCTCTTTGTACAAAGGTATAACATTAAATGTCAACAATAAACAAAAATAAATAAGCAAAGACTAATATGTACAAGACTAAATAAACACACATCACAGTGTGCAGGAGGTTGCTTGCAATTTTGTATCAATAAAAACAACATATTGCCCATTATTGGGTGCCTTGGACTTCTAGTTTGTTGCTGTGGTATCCAAACTTGAATCGATTTATTTGTATTTTTACTAGTATAGTATCAAAACTTCAAATTCTCCTATCAGTCTGGTAGTAACAGTTTTCTAATCTGTAACGACATGGAGCTGCAGGACTGTGGTTTAAACCTTATTAACCATATTTCACTTTTTTCATGTTGCCTCTTAAAGCCTCTCTCCCTCCCTGCAGCCCTCCCCTCATTCTCCTGCTCCTGTTTCCATTTATGAAAGCAGAAACCTCCTGAGTGGGTGACACAAAGCCTCGCAAAGGTCTCTGGGGCCTCAGCCAGTCAAAGGCCTTTTTTTATACCAAGACAGCAGACAGACAGACGGACGGACTCAGGAAGTGTTTCCTCTGCAGAAAACCAGACTTTGACATGTTAATACGAGTCTGTGCAGCTGGTGACACCAGAGTCAGCTCAGCAGTATTGAAGGTTTGGGTTTCCTGTCAGGTATCCGGAGGTTGTCGCCTATGATCAGGTTCAGAGCGGGTCGTCACGGTCTGCAGCAGCGACCAGACGAGGAGCCATCGAGCACAAAGGAAGACAAAAGAAGAGCTTCACTTTGAAACACTCTATTATGGAAAAAAGCTCTCTTGAATAATTTCAAAGGAAATAAACCTTAAAAAAGAAGAAACATTGTTCATCGTAAAAAAAAATACAAGTGCTCTAGAGATATTAAAAAGGCAAAAGAGCCATTAAAAAAACACTGTCTGTTACTCTGGAAATATCATTACTCTCAGCCTGCATGTCTTGTCTGCAAAATAAACATTAAAAAAACATTTTCTCTCCTTTTAATCCTTTTTTTTCTTTGGTGAAAATTGCTCCAATAAACAAGAAAATAATGGTTGTGTTTGCATTAATTTTCTAAATGTTATGTTGTGATCACATGGTAAGAGTTTGTTAAATTTAGGCTACTTATAAAAGGCCTCCTGCACTTTGCTGCGGTGCTGCTAACCTTCCTGTGGTCCACTAGGGGGCGTTGTACTCATGGATCTTGTTCGATGTAAAACCTGCAGTTTCACGTGACAGGTTTAAATGCCTTAAACACAACTTCCAATAAGTTTTTGTAAGGTTCATATAATTCACAGCGAACTGACAGACACAATGGATCTCACTGGGTGAATTATGTTTACTATACTTTTTGATTTAAACTTAATTTATTTCACCAAATCAAACTTAATCTGCAAACAGAAGATGTTTTTATTACATGTTAGATGTTTTTGTACTGTCAGTAGGTCAGGTCGTCCTTCTAACATCCACAGCAGAGCACCTATGGGTGTGTTTGGCCCCGTTCCCCCTCTCACGCGCGCCCACCTGCGCATATTTTATGCTAATGAGCAGGTGCAGTGGCTCTTGAGGCGCGCGGAGGGCCGCTCGCGGAGGAGCCGGATGGAGCAGCGCAGGGAGCAGCGGGAGTCCAGCCGGAGGGTTCTCACCAGGTGATGCTGTCCAAACCCGACTGACTGCGGATCCGCAAAAACACGAATGGATCCCCATTTAAGACGGAGCTGGAAAAGGCTTTTGCACTTATTATCTTTGTATTTTATCCTCATCTATCAAGGTGAGTCATCTCTACCACATAAACACATATCACTCTGATCTGATGTTTAAACCACGGGACGTTCAAGAACAGAGGATTTATGAATTATAGCATAGAGTGGGAAAAACGGGGTTTAAGTTTTTTTTTGTAATTAATTGTAATAAAAAGCTTAATGTTGGTTTTCCTTTAACTGTGCTTTTTGTGACAGCTCAGGTTTCTCCCTTGTCTAACTTTAGATTTAATAAGTTTCCTCTTAGTCAGATCATATTTGTGCTTTTTGTGACAGCTCAGGTTTCTCCCTTGTCTAACTTTAGATTTAATAAGTTTTCTCTTAGTCGGATCATATTTGGTTTTATTCATTTATTCCAACTTTCTTATTGTCTCGATTTCAGCGCATCTGTCCTGGGGGATTGAGAGAGTGAACCATCCTAATTTGGATCAATTTAATAGGTAAGTACTTTTACTTTCTATTCAAGGAGCAATGAAGGCCAAACCTGTTATTTTCAAACTTTTTGGACAAAATGTTTAATGTTTTTATTCATGTCATGTGCATTTAAACGTTTTTATTTTTGTTCATTTTATTTACTGGCTTGAATAGATACAAAGGTCTATAATAACCCTAACGAATATCTTGTAATTTGTCATCATTAAGAATAATGATAACTATTGTTATAATATAGAACATTTTCAAGGGCCTTTTTTTCATCAAATATAGTTTTAAATTATTAGACGATTTAAAATTGATCATTCATCAGCTCTTATTTTGGAAATTAAAATTAAATAAAAAGTGAAAATTCGGAAGAAAAAAAAATCTCCATTAATGAGAATATCCCATGTGTCTTTGTTTCTCTATGATAGTAATGTAATAGAGGATGTATTTTGGGACTGCTGGTTATAAAATCTCTCATCTTTGACTTTAGAAAATAATGGGGTAGTTCATCTTTCACACAAACCACCAAATCAATCAGCTAAGAAATCTGATTAAACTGATGTTGTAAGTTACTGTGGTATGAATTCATAGAGCTTTGATTAATTGTTTATTTTTTTTTCCTTTTTGCCATTATTTGTTTTTTAATGGTTTGGTTGGTTCCCGGTCGGTCGATCGGTCGGTCGGTCGGTGGTGGGTTTGTGGTGTCACAAAAAAAAGCTGCAGCAGGAACAAACCTCTCCTTGTTCTCTCTGTCCCAGCAGCGGGAGCAGAAGGATAAAGCAGCAGAAATGGGACACCGCTTCCCAGGGAGGGCAGGTAGGCAGCCGCATTGATCACTGATGCTGATGGAGCTGCTTCAGGCGACCAACACACTAACCAGAGATCCCTCTCCCCAAAAAGATCTGCAGCACTCACACCAAAACACAGAGCCGGAGAAGAGAAATGAAGAAAACATAATCTGAAGGGCTTTTATTCATATCTTTTATTCCCGGTGACCCAGTATTCCCAGTACAAATGTCCATCATTGACACTATTTGCTCACAGTTGAGGATTCAACGACATTTTAAGGAACACATTTAAAATGAACAGTGTAACATTAATAAGGATATAACATAAAAGGATGTAAATACAGAAGAAATACAGTGGGATGTATTTAAAGAACTAATGTACGGCTGCACATTGTCAAAATGATTTTTAAAAAACTATTATCCTGACAGCCCTTGCTTTAAAGATTATGTCAATTTCGTAAAATTTCTTGTCATCTAGAATATTTTTCTGATTTCTAAATTGATATTTTAAAGTTTTAGTATTTAGTTTTGTTCAGTCCGAACACCCTATATCTTCTCAAGAAAAATCCTGAGACAAGTCCTGAAAAGCAAATTTCTGTACAAAAAAAAGAGGCAAATATCCCACGAGATCAGGCAGCAACTCGACCTCCATGACACTTAAAGATACTGTCTGGAAATACATGTTGTTTACTACTGAAGTATGTCAAAGTAAAACGCCCCACGGTGACATTTTGTTCCTCACAAACAGCCATGTGAGGGGAGTCCCAGCAGGAATATACAGTAGCTGCTCTGTTGTCTCACTCTTCCTATATCACAGCCTCCATCAGCCTGAATGTGGTCATTCCCTTTGTGCTGTTTCCCTTTGGCCCAGAGAGGCGTGAGAATCCGGTCCAAACTGTCCGGGTTAGTAAACATACAAAGCAATTAGTAACACAGGTTGCAGGTCACAGGTATAGAGAAAAGATCTATCTCATGTCAGATCTCTAAACAACAGGAAAGACTTAACATCCCTCATAACATTGGGACACCTGTGTCAAGGCGCTGGTTGTTTTCACGTTTGACCTGCTCAGCCTCTATATGTCTTGATACTGATCAGTGATTAATAATTTGTAGTCAAACACTATTCATACCCCCTCTTCTCTTCTCCTTTGTCCCTGCTATTTGAGATGAAAGCTTTGGTTTGAGAGCTCAGGTATCCCGGGGAGCTTTAAGTGTAGAAAACAATGTCCAACTTCTGGTTTCTGAACAGTCATGCCAATATTTTTCAACCAAAGCTGCTCTACTTATGTGCTCTGTGTCCAATACTGGCCTGTCAAAATCTTCCCATTATAATGAGAAAATATTCATACAGAAATAAAACAGATATTCAGTTTTATTCTCAAAGTTTTAATCTCCATAGACGGCTTTTAATTTCTTCAGCTTTGCATGGGAAAAGGTAAAACTTTTAGAGGTAGAATTCTCCGTTTAAAGTTCGGCAAGATGGTCGATAAACATCCCCTCGTTGCTGTTTCCATTCGACAAAGATCATCTACAAGGGGAAAAATACAGGGGGGAGAAGGCGGAGGAGAGGGTGGAGTTGTCAACCTGGATGGGAAAGCTGCGTTGGAAGTCACAGAGGAGTTGTTAATGAAGACTGGATGACAGCTCTTTTCTCTCATGCCTCTTCTTTTCCCAGCGCTGCCTCGGTTTCATCCTCATCGGTCTGGACTCTGGTTTGGCAACAACCAGCGTAATTCTGGGAGGAATTTTTTGCCGAAAACAAATGTAGAATTGTTTAAGCTTTAGGTCTCCAATATTTCAATCAAATCTTAATTAAACTGTCACTTGATAGCTAAGCCAGTTTTTCAGATTGTGCTTGATATAATATTAAAGTCATGGAATTAGTTAAAAGGATCAGATTGCATTAAGGATTTAACTTTGGTTTGCTGAAGCTGCACTCTCTTTGCCAAACAATACCATAGCTAAGTATAACAATGATTGGATTTGCTATATAAGGCTGGAAGAGGCTCTGAAATATCAATAGGTTTGTGAGAAATCAGAAAATGGCTGCATGACTGAATGGTTTCAATTATTGTTTGAAAAACCTGCTGATACAGTCTCTCCCTTTAAGGATCTCCAGACAGAATCTGTTGCATCAGAAACCAGCACATCTCCCTCCAATCATTTACTGGTCAGCTGGATCAATGCGTCCAACAGCACAGAGAGGACCTCATCACGGACCCTCAACGCTTACCAATCATCTTCAACTACAACACCATCTAGTCTCACAGCATTAGGTCCAGTTTCATCCAGCCAATCAACGGGCAGCACAGCACAAACTAGCAAATCACCAAACAAAGCAACACCATCTGGAAATACAGCAACTAAGACAGAAGCATCCAACCAGTCAACAGCAACCACAGCTTTAGCCAATCAATCACCAATTAGTGCTTTAACATCCAGTGAGTCACCTTCCAGTACAACTAAAACAGACCAATCAACAGAAAGCACAACATTTTCCAACCGATCACCAACAACCATAGCACCAGGTAGCCAACCACTAACTAAGCCAGAACCTCTCAGTCAATCCAAAACCAGTAAAACACAAGCTAGCAACTCACCAACCCCAAGTCAGCCACAACCAAAACACCAGCCGGGCATTCATCAACAAACCCAGCACCATCAGGCATTAACGCAAGGACTAGCCAGTCACAGAGTGGTACAAAAACATCTAGCCAATTATCAAATAGATTAGTACCATCAAGTTATTTACCAACCAGCACAACATCAGCAAGCCATTCACCAGTCACCACAAAACCAGCGAGCAAATCACCAACAAGCTCAGTCACATTCAATCAGTCACCAACGAGCAAAACACAAACTAGCCAATCACCAACAAGCTCAGCAACATCTGATCAATCACCAACCAGCATAACACCAACAAGCCAATCACCAGGCAGCACAACTAAATTAGGCCAAAAAACAACAAACATAGCCCAAGACAGCCAATCATCAACTAGCTCGGCAACAACCAGCACAACACCATCCCGCAAATCACCAAGAACCGTAGCAGAACAAAGCCAGTCACCAGGAAGCACAATGCACCCCAACCAATTTCTAACCATGACAGCGCCAGTCAGCCAATCGTCTGCTAGTCCAGACACATCCAGCCAAACTCAATCCAATACACCACCAACTGACCCATCAGGAGCTAGCTCAACCACCACCAGGCCATCACTAACTGGCACAACACCAACCAGCCAATCTCCAACCACCTCAAAACCATTTAGCCAATTACCAACCACTACTACTTTACCAGCCCACCAATCAGCAAGCACAACGACCCAATCCAGCAAATCACCAATGAGCAAAGCATCAACAAGAGAACCGTTAGGCACAACAAAAACAGTCAGCCAAACACCATCCAATACTGCGCAAGCCAGTAAATCACCGACAGATAAGTCAACACCCCGCCAATCACCTATTAGCAAACCGCAAACCAGTACGGCACCAGCTAGTAAGTCATTAACCAGCACAGAGAAATCCAGCCAATCGCATATCAAAGCAGTGCAAGCCAATCACTCACCAGTCAGCAACAGGCCAGCCAAACCTTTATCTCACCATATAACTGGCAGTACCACAAAATCTGGCCAATCATCATCAAGCCAGTCACAGATAAACAAACCAATAACCAGCTCAGTAACACCAAATCAATCATCAGTAACTCCAACATTTTCTTATTCTTCACCAACAACTTCAATACAAGCTAATCAATCCAAAAACAGTTCAATAGCATCGCATGACATATCATCCAGCATTACATCAAATAACCAATCAAATTCCACACCATCTGTCCAATTGCTGACCGGCTCAGTACAATCAAACCTGTCTTCACAAGGATCCACAGGAAACACACCCAGCGGAGCTTTTTCACCTGATGAGCGTCCAGTTAATATTTCAGTCCTCACCAGGCAGGCGAAGGAAGCCCTGAAGTCGTTTCGGAGGATTCCAGGTAGGTTTAATTTTCATTAATTTGTGATGTAATTTGTTTGGGTACTGAAAATGTTAGAAATACACCCCAGGGTTTGTTCATTCTTTCCACATAATTCAGTCCTTTATTCCTTTCAAAGTGGATTTTGTTGCTTATACCCCTCAGGCTTCAATAGTTGCTGCGGTGTATTCTGCCGTGAATTATTCTGATGGCAAAATTGTTTGATTAAAGATAGTAAAGGTTATATTAAGATTGAGAAATGCCTGGTGAAAGTTGCCAGATGTTCAGTCAATGTATATCGAAGCTCTGCTGTTCACAGTAACCACATTTAATAAGAAAGACACTTTAACGTTGGCCTCCCCAGTGGTCTTCTCAATGGGAATATTGAAAGACCACTGAGGAGGCCAACGTTTAAAATATAACAGAATAACACTTGAAAATTGCTACCATATTCAGCTTGCCTGCCTAGGTTCATAGTAAATAAAATATACCTTATAACACATCTAAAGCCTATAAATATGGCTTCATCCATTTGTTGAATACACAGACTAAATTAACCAACTAAAAACAACTATTTATGCTTTAATAGTCACCCTGCCTGTTACTGCTGGTTGCTAAGAAAGAGTCAGAGTTCACAGTCCCCATAACAATTGGGGCACAGAACAAGACATACTCATTTAAGCAACATGCTTTAGTGGGGTTTATTTTAAACTTTGCATAAAGCCAAAAATGTTGTTTTCCTGTGCTTCCTGCCTTCATGCAAAACTAGGCTTTTGCTCTTGCTCTATCTAGCACAGCCACAAGAGGGGTTTTGATCAACAAAACTTATTTACCACATCCTGAAAAATTTCTGAAAGATCAGGACAGAAAATGTGATGGGACCAATCATTCAACATTGATTATCAGTCTCTCTGTCAGTCGTATCTGCATTGGCACTGAGTTTATTTCACAAACTTTGTGAGACATCATCACATATGAACATACCTGACTGTTTGCACTGCACTAAACAATCACCAGTCTCTACGTTTTAACAGACTGAAGACTCAAAATTTGTTCTGGATAAAGAGGTTCAAAGTGTTCAAACGGTGAACTCCTGTAACACCAGAAGGTTGGTCAATGTGACTTTAAACAGACAACAAGTAGTTCTTCTGTTTTACTTACCTAAAGGAAATTAGGTTGCCCCCCCACATGCATTGTATGGTACCTGTGCTTGTGTGGGACATGGCTGACTGGGTAGACAAGCTGTAGGCCCACTGAGCAGATGCTGTTAATGCATTATGAGGACCCATCATTTGTTGTTTGGTGGTGCGTTCGATGACCAGAACATTTGACTATGGCTCCACCTGGTTCCTGACAGGTGGGGGGCGGGGTAGACAGATGGAGACTTTTAAAAGTGTGACCTGAAGATACTTACAATTCATGGCAGAAAAACACAGCATTTCTGTTCTATAAATTTAACATATTAACGATTACCTGGTGAAATTTAAAACAATGAAGCAAGCTAAAAAGGAACGTATCCCTGATTCAGGCCTCACTGTCCTGCCTCATATTTCAGTCTTGTAGTCTGAGGAACATCTTGTAATTGTTTGTTTGTTTGTTTTCCCCCAGCGGGGCGTTGTGTGTTTCCATGCCTGAACGGAGGACATTGTGTTCAGTCAGAGTCGTGTGACTGCAGCCTGTATCAGGCCACTGGACACAGATGTCAGACAGGTAAACCACACACCAGACACATCTTCCTTCTATAATCTATTTGAATGTGAAAACCAATCATCATCAATTATTAATTAAGTTGAGTTCATTAATACAATAATTATACTTCACAGAACACTTTACTTTACGGAAGCAATTTAAAACAGACTATCACAAGCGAACACACAAAAACTTGGACATACAGTTAAAACATAAAAAGTTGTGTATATTATTGCACATAAGTACCAGCGGATATTCATATGATAGATATTGTAATATGATAATTGTATGAGTGAATTGTGTCCAGCTTGTGTGTGTGTTTTGTGATCTACTGGGGACAGGCTTGGTTGAACAGTCTGACTGCAATAAGAAGGAAGCTCCATGTTTTGGGTTTCAAGCTGATTTATTGCTTGGTTCAGTCTAACCACGCTGTCAGCTCAGTTTTAAATAATTCTTAAAATCAGACTATGCAACGGGAAATAATTTCCTTTTCTGCGTCCTCAGTTCCAAACCCGGGCTTTGAGAGGGAGATGACGTGCAGGTCGTGGGGTCAGTACAACTATGAGACATTTGACGGCCTTTACTACTACTTCCCTGGTGCATGCACGTACACTCTGATGAGGGACTGTGAGGAAACCACCCAGGCCAGCATCATCATCCAGGTAGGTTCAGACTCAACTCGACTAAAATAAATTCTTCAGACCAAGAGCTGCCCAGAAAGTTTCAGTCTGTAGCCTGAAGTTTGGACTCTGCAGTGTTCTGCTTTATAAAACACCCTCTCCTTTCTGACTTGTGCCAGGTTTAGTCTCAGCCCGGGGAGAAGATTTGCTCTGAAGATTAGTGAAAGCTATCTGGTTATTAGAGTCAATTACCATTAAATACTGCAATTACTCAGAATGCCTTGAAAGCATCTGCAACAGACCGAGACATTGTTCCCCTGAATAGGCAGCAGATGGATACTGTATCTGTGTATGGGAAAAGAAAGAAAACTGTGAACAGGACGAGATCCAAGCAGTTGATGGTTTTTGATTAAACAATTTCATCAGCAAAAAGACCAAAAACATGTAACAAAATAAAATATAAAAGTGAAGAACTAAAACCTGAATCATGGAAACATCTATGACATGACATTTTTCTTTGTATCAGAAACACCTTCACTGTGCTGAAGAATAAGAGAGGGTCTATGTGTTACTTTCAGAGTCAAGTTTCAATATTTAAAGGTGACATATTCTCCTCCTCTTCAAACAGTTTAAATAAGTCTCAGAGCTCCCAAAAACATGTCTGTGAAGTGTCTTGTTCTAAATCCACTCTGATCCTGTATTTGATCATGTCTATAAACCTCTCTATTTCAGCCCTGCTCAGAACAGGCTGTTTCTATGTCTGTACCTTTAAATGTAAATGAGCTGTGCCCCCCTCTCTGGAAGAGCTTGGGTGTCTCGGGCTTTCTCGCTCAATGCCTGATTGTTTATGGTGAGAAGGCAGACTCAGAGGGCAGAACAAACACCTAGCTGTGGGAGTGTCACCCACCTGGGGGAGGGGTTACTGCCCTTTGTGATGTCATGAAGGGAAAATCTCCAAACGGCCTGTTTGAGCACACATTTTCTGAAAAGTGGAGCAGGCATAAGACAGAGAGGATGGACTTTTCTCATAATTGGGGGGTTTGTAGACAGACTAGGGACACATATTAGTGTTAGAGGAACATGGTGAAGTGTATGTTGCGTCATATGTGACCTTTAAATCAGTCTCGTAGACAGCGCAGTCAGCTGGTAAAGTGTGCAAAAATATTTAAAAATGCAGCTTTGAGTTTAAGCAAGTACGGTTTTGACTCTGTGTGATTTCTCACATGTGAAAAAATCATAAGGAAATACTTTAATGTTAATGGAGGATAACATAAAAAATGTGTTGTATAATTTGACTTAAATGGATAATGCCAGTCTGGTCATTTTAAAATCACACTCTGTTGTCTCAATGAGGGCAATACTAAAGTTTTCAACTCTTTCTTTGAACCTTGGGTTACCTACTGTAAGGCTTTATTTCCAAGTACACATTTTTGTTTGCAGGTCCACAATGACCCGGGCTGCAGCTTTGCACCTTACACCTGCCAACGATCTGTCAGCCTCTTCCTCCCATGGGAGGGGGAGGTTCGGCTGCACGCTACTAATGTCACCTTCAAGGGCCAAAGGTCAGTAATACATCCTGATGCTGTGTATCCACAAAAAGAAGAGGGGTTGTCTGTATCGTGGTGGACTGACTGTCTCTGTCTTCAGTCTGCAGCTACCTGCTCACATCCATGACCTGCAGCTGGAGCAGATCTCTCAGTACGTCCTGGTTACTCAGCAGCACGGCTTCACGCTGGCCTGGGAGGGAAGCAGCGGCTCCATCTATATCAAACTCAGCCCAGAGTTTGTGGGCAGAACCTGCGGCCTGTGCGGCAACTTCAACGCTGACGTCCAGGACGACCTGAAGACCAGTTATGGTGAGTTATTTTTATCTGTGACATGTGACCTATAACTAATCCGACTGGCTAAACCTGGGCTAAACAAAGAGTTCAAAGGTCATAGTGGAGGAAGAATTCTAGCTCTTTCTCAGAAACTGTTGGACTTGAAGTAAAAACCTCTCACTTTCCATGAGCAGAACTATAATACGGTTTCTCTTTCTCTCCCACAGGTGTGCTGACTCATGAGATTGAAATGTTTGGGAACAGCTGGGTGGAGGCGGAGCCACATCAGGCACAGTGTCCCATGGTGCCTTCAGGCTTCCCGTCACCTTGTGCTGCTGTAGAGGCTCATGTCATGCTGGTGAGATGACTGATTAAAAAAATTGTCCCTTTCACAAATACAAGAAAAAAAAATGCACTGAAACAAATGAATTCCCCTTTGATCTAATATGGTTTGTTTGAGCAGTCTGTCTTTGTGCGTTTTCTTGCTGCAGAAAGTGGAGGAGGTGTGTGCCATGCTGCTGGATCCGCCTTTTCAGAGCTGCCATGACTTTGTCAGCCCGCTGTCCTACATGGCCAGCTGCTCCAACGACTTGTGCATGTGAGACAACCAGATCTATACCAGCCTCTTGAAACACATTGTGTTATTTTTATCAATGCATTTAATGCGTCGATGCTTTTTGTTACCAAAGTCCAATGGGCTAAATCCATGGAAGACCATGAATGTCCTGGCGATGACCTTTTGGTCAGTAAAGAGAAACAAAAACATGCAGCAATAGGCCATTGGTTGACGTAGAACCTGGGGCCAATTGGGGCGAGGACTTTGTCCCTGGGCATAGGACCCTCTAAAACTGCACTCTACCACCAACAAAGCTGACCCAGCACCTCAACACTTTTGGGGTTATGTCATGAAAAACATTCTCTTTCACCAAGGTCACCCCTGTCCGTGTCCTGTAACAGTCATTGTCTGGGTCTTTTTCAGCCCAAACTTTGATCTTTAGCTGAACTTCATTAAGTTTTGCACGCACCTATTTGTACATCAAAGACAGAACTCTACTTTGGGTAAGAAGAAGAATCTGAATCTAAGATGAGGCTCAATCTCCTGGGTTAATACCTTTGACTTTGTTGTTCTTTATAATACTTAAGATGAGCTTTACTTAAGGTGCTCTGGCAAAGAGTTCTAAAAAAATACTGTTCCCATGACCTTCATGATAATATTTCACTCATGGGGAAGAACCAATGCTGACATAACGCAAGGCAAATCTAGGGTAACGTTTAGATACAGCCACAAAAAAAAGATTTCCAGATTGACAATGACCATCATGTTTGCATAAATGTAACAACTGTCCAATTGGCAGAGCCTAACCGGTCGTATAACTGGTAATAATATGGGGCACATGGCATAGCGTTGTAGTATCCTGACCCTCTTCAAAGCTGTCAGTGTTTACCAAAGATTCTGATCCATACCTATGTCTTCTGAGTTGTGGCCAAAAGCACACATGGAAATCTCAGAATACATCCGGCTACTTCAGGTGTCAGAGAGAATTCTTGTTTTTTTCGTTCTTTGACACAAAGAAGTGCTTTTCTTGTTTCTTTCTCGGTTGTGTGTTTATAGTGGCTCAGGTCCATGATCCTGAACGTGCCCTCTTTCTGTGAGTAACATTAGCTCGAGCAATCTGTTTCTGTTAACTCAGAGGCAACAGATTGCCTGAGCTGAAGACAAAACAGTTTACTGTGTTCAGAGACAAATTTACCCTATCAGATGATTCACATCGACTGAGAACATCTCTGATACAGCCGTACAACAAACCTTTACAGCGTTTAAATGAACTCTAGTCAGAATATTTTATCATTCAACATCAGTCAGATAGTTTCCCCCTCATGTTTGACACTCAGCACGTTGATGGTTCTATGTTTGAGTTGTACCGTCTACTCAGTACCTGTACCTGTCTCTGAGGCCACACCTCTCCTGGCTCCACTCAAAGACTCCTTCTCTGCTCGTTTCTCTCTTGAAGGTCGGGTCCCAACGGTGAAGTGGTATGCCAGGTGTTCAGCGAGTACGCCCGGGCCTGTGCCCACGCTGACCACCCACTGCACGACTGGAGGCAGCACATTCCTCAGTGTGGTACGTGTTTCCAGGTGTTTGAGACAGAGCGCCACAGACAGAGGTCAAAAGAGCTGGACGCTTCCGTTCAAACCGAACAACAGCTGAGTTTTTTTGCTGGGAAACAGAAACGTAGAGCATTCATTAATAAAGAAAGAGAGCCCCGGGGATAGAGTAGGATATACTATAACTGATTATAAAAAGTTATTGTAGCAAATCAGATATTTAACTTTGAGTCACTAATGCAAGATTTAGAAGTGAATATTCTGACATCATGCCTCCCTTTACCTCACTAATTGAATTCACTGCACTTCTTTAGGTTAACAGAGAGTATTAGTAGATAGATTCATAGAGTATAGTTTTTTTATTAAAGGTTTTTTGAGTCTTAGGACAGTGGATAGAGTCAGAAATCAATGAGAGAGAGAGAGAGAGAGAGAGAGAGTGGGGAATGACGTGCTGGAAAGGACACACAGGTCAGATCCAAACCCGAGCGGTCTGCCTGGTGGACTACAGCCCCCACACATGGGGCGTGCGCACCAACCACTACGCTACCCGTGCCCAAGTAGAGGCACAAATTAAAATACAGATGTAGTTAACTTGCAGAATTAACAGTTTCACTTTAAGCTATCTTAAAAACAGAATTTGGCATCAATATGAAAAAAATTCAGTTTAAAAAATGTCACTATAATCCAAAAAACAGCTTATTTTTTTATCAATCAGATAGTTTATAAATGTAAGAGAGTCCCCATGAAACAAAACTGCTCTGTTGTTATTTCCAGCTGAAACAGGTAAAAACCAACCTGCTTTGTAAACAGCAAAAAACAAAAACAAAGATGCCACAGCTTTCACATCTCTTGTTGTGTTCATTTAACTATTTAAAAAGAATATGTCCGGCTGTAGTTTGTTCTGATGTGAAAGCAATCTGCTGTTTGCATTTTGTCTCAGTCTTGTCAGTGGATCATGTTTGACATGTGTGTCGTGTTTCCTTCTTGCGATCAGCGAAGCAGTGTCCTTCAGGTCTGCACTACAGAGAATGTATCAGCTGCTGCCCAGAGACCTGCAACCTGGAGCGAACATGCATCGACAGCAAGCTGGCCTGTTTGGATGGATGCTACTGTCCTGATGGTGGGTTTCGATTCATGCTCAACAACTGCTTTCGAGATCTATAAACCTGAAAATCCTTACAGAAAATACACCTTTAAATGAGGCTTCTGTCTCCTACGTAACAAACTTTTCTCTCCACAGATTAAATTGTTTATAATGTTTATTCATCACATCCAGCTTCTTCCATTTTAGTGTATTGTCATGTTTTCAACCCCAGATTATTTAAATGGTCTCACCACAGGTCTGATCTATGAGGACGGAGGCTGTGTGACGCCCTTTGACTGTCCCTGTGAGTATCACGGCATGTTCTATCCGTCTGGACAGACGCTGCAGGAGGAATGCAACAACTGGTGAGTGATATCCTCTTTCTCCTAGAGTATGTCTTTATAACTACAACCTCACAGATATGACCTTAGGTTGCTTTAATGAGGTCAGAGATATAAGTCTATTAACGTATATGTTATTGGATTTGTACGTATCTAAAATCTTTTCTTTTGAAAGTATAAAATGCAGAAAACGATGCTCAGGGTTGATTTCAGGGAAGCCTGATACCATAAGATGTCTTCACATCTGCACTCCGAAAAATATCTAGATAATTTCAGAACGACTGCTCCTTAGATTCTCCTGACCTGGCTGTTCACGTTATGATCCTCCTGAGAATATCCTGCTGCATTCTCACATCAGCTCACTTGGACTTGCTGCGGAAAAAATACTAGGAGTCTGGCAGGAGAAACTCTGGGTCAAGTTCGAGTGAAAAATGTGCCTGTTTGCATTCACACATACAGCTCCTCCTGGAAATATCAGGAGGTTTTCAGGAGTTTTCTGCAAGTGTGAAAGCACTAATAGTTTACAATACTCTGAGCAGAGTTTGCAGCAAGAGTACTTTTGCATCGTCTTATCTAATAAATATTTGTGCAGAATCAGCTTAGAGAAAAGTTCCCTTTTCACCCCAGCTCAAATGTTCACCATGTAAACCCTGCAATCTTTAATAAGCGCATTCTTTAACACCAATATCTGTATGGAATAGGATCCAACAATGGGTTGAGTATCATGAATAAGACGACTGTGGGTGAAGAAACAGCTTTGATTTATGTTTAAAAAACATTTTCCTTCGAAAAAGGCAAACAAAGAGGAGCACTGTCTTATTTTTATAACTATTAAATTACTGGATCTTGTTTTTTCTGTACATAACCTCTACCCTCCTTTGGATTGTGAAATGATTCTTAGATGGACACACGTGTTGCTCTTCACATGTATCATGTATAAAACATGATACTGTCCTGCAGATTCCCTGCAGTTCTTTTAATCTTCTCAGATCTGACCACCTGGGCTCAGTGTGTCCAGTTTCTATCAGTGATGCTGCAGATTAGCTCGGCCTTTAATGTCCCCACCTGTGTGTGTGTGTGTGTGTGTTTCTGTTTCAGCACATGTGTGGGTGGAGTGTGGAACTGCACCGAGTACAGCTGCCCAGGTTTGTGTCTATTTCCGCCGTGGGTGGTTTCATTTGAACACAAACTGATGCTGCAGGTTATAAACCCAACACTGTGATGGGAGGAGATGAATCTAAAATACAAAGACTGTTTTTAGAATTCAAATCAACGCCATAACATTTTCCTGACTGTACATTTTTGAAACCTCCAAAATGGCTGAATTTGAACATTCAATCTACTTCGAAACGTCTCTTCTTTCTGTTGAAATTTGAACCACCAAGACAGCACTATACATCTCAAAGAACCTTTAGGGAACATTAAAGCCGGTTCTGGGATGACCTTAAAATGTCCATCTCTCCCTCTCTCTGCAGGCGAGTGCTCTGTGACCGGTGATATGTATTTCCAATCCTTTGACGGCCGGATCTTCACCTTCCCTGCTACATGTCAGTACGTCCTGGCCAAAAGCCGGAGTTCAGGGAAGTTCACGGTCACCATCCAGAACGCCCCCTGTGGAGCGGTGAGTCATATTCAATCTGCGTATTGTTATTTTTTTTAATGCACAAAGAAGAAAATCCCCAACTTCTTCAGGCGTGACTTTTTCATTTACTGCAAATGTGGACACCACTTGGAAAAGTCTCCAACACTTTTTTCCACTCTGCATCAAACGGCTCTGCTTTGTCAGCTCACAGGTTTGTGCCATTAGTCTGTCATGTAGATCATATCGTAGTTTAAGTGCTCAATAATCCCCGCGGAGTCCAGGTCAATTTTGTTGATGCTCTAAAAGCCTCTGAGGAAATGTCTCGATCAAACTGTGGCAGATAATCGACATGAAAAGAAAAGAAAGAGCACCTCACCCCCTCTCCCCCTCCCCTCCCTACAAGCGTTCAGTGTCCCAGCAGCCTTTGAGGGGCGATGAAGGGGTGGAGGCCAGATATAAGATGTCCCACTCATCAGAGCAGAGGCCCTGGACCTCTAACAGCCAAGTGAACAGGATTACCTTATCAGTCCTGACTGACAGAGCTGTGGACGGCTTTGTAGTGAGGGAGGGAGGTGTAGAGGGGCTTTTAGAGGGGTGGGGGGACCTGGACAGAGAGGTGAATGATGAGAAAGAGGGGATGGAGGAGGGGGGATGATAAAAAACCTTTCTCTTGTGAAAGAGATGATTCATAGAGGCAGATCGCTTCATGTCAGAGACACACGGGCTTCCTAACTTTTTAATTTATCAAACAAGCATCTTTTTGCGACAGAATGTTTTACCACATGTGGCGATATTTGCGGCTGTGGATCAGTAGTAGAGTCGGTCGTCTCTCAACCGGTATGTTGGGGGTTTGATTCCCAGCTCCTACAGCCAAATGTGTCCTTGAGCAAGACGCTACACAAGCTCAAGTCCATTTGCCATTTACCATTTATTTGAACACATTCTATTCCAGTTGCAGTGATTGCACCATGGTGATCATCAGCTAAACGCTGATTTACTGTAATAGAGCCAAATTCTACAAAACAGAAATCACGCTGTTTATGAGAATGAGAAACAAGCCATCAAGCATTTAAATCAGTAGTCAAATGTTTACTGAGATAATTAATCAGGTGAGAGGTAGACTTAGTCTCTCATCTGGTTCCGGACAAGTGGACTTCCCTTTGCAACCAGTGGAGTCTATTCAACATCTGTTTCACTTTTCAAGCCAAGAAACTACATCAGCCTGTTCTGTTTATTTTTTGTTTTATGTTGTAATGCAAATTGTATACTCTAAGGGGCTCCACAGAGGCGTTACTCTTTACATCAGAATGAAAGAAAACTAAAAAGCGGGACTGTGATTTGTTTAACTATTGTTAAGGATATGACTTATTTTACTCCCATTCTGTGTCTCCTTGTTTATCTGCATTGCTGCTGTTTGAGAAGATGCCAGCATGCTTTCTCCAACTGTCTTGTCTCAATTGCAGAATTTGGACGGGGCGTGCATCCAATCAGTTAACCTGGTCATTGACGAAGATCCGAGAACGGAGATTACACTGAGTCACATCGGAGAGGTCTTCATGGCTGGACAGTACCGCATCTCTCTGCCGTATTCTGACGGTAACTCCCTCATCTTTTATCACTTCTGACGTTGCTCACATCTAGTGCCAGACTCACATTCAGCACTCAGGTCATGGCAGAGATGGATTAAATGACATGCTATTGAACAGAATTGTTCTCGATGGTTTAATGGGTTAGTGTTCCCTCTGAGTATTACTCCCTTTTCACAGCAGTGTTGTCATGAATGCTGCATCCTGTTGATTGAATCAGCGGACTTTTGAACGTCTTTTCAATAATGTGAGAATGATCAGATATATTTATACCTTAAGGAATCGACACAAAACTTAACCTGACAGTACTTTATGATCTGGGACAAACAGAGTCGGAATTCGAAATTACAAGATTAAGAATAATGAGAGGTCAAAGTGACACCAAATATCAGTAAATAAAAACATAAATCCTGCACTTTTGTTTTTTAGAGGCATTTGATATTCTTCTAATCAGGTATCATGATGTGTCATTATATGAGTGTCTTGCAATTTATCAATCAGAAGAATCGCTGTATCGTGATATCATTATTATCACGGTCTACATATTGCATATCATCTCCTCTTGTATAATCTCGCATCGTCTCGCATCGCCTCGCCTCGCCTCGCCTCGCCTCACATCGTCTCGTATCGCCTCGCATCGTATCGCCTCGCATCGTCTCGCCTTGCCTCGCATCGTCTCGCCTTGCCTCGCATCGCCTCGCCTCGTCTCGCATCGTATCGCCTCGCATCGTATCGCCTCGCATCGTATCGCCTCGCATCGTATCGCCTCGCATCGTATCGCCTCGCCTCGCATCGTATCACCTCGCATCGTATCACCTCGCCTCGCATCGTATCACCTCGCCTCGTATCGTATCGCCTCGCATCGTATCACCTCGCATCGTATCACCTCGCCTCGCATCGTATCACCTCGCCTCGTATCGTATCGCCTCGTATCGTAGTATCGTATCATATTGTGTCGTATGGTTTTGCATGGTATCATATCGTCTCCTATTGCATAGTATCGTATCTTGGAGTGTGATGATTGACACTCAGCCCCGAGTCAATACATGATATAAGGTTCACTACAGGGAGTGTCGTCCCGTTCTGTCCCGTCCCGTCCCATCCCGTCCCGTCCCGTCCCGTCCCGTCCCGTCCCGTCCCGTCCCGTCCCGTCTCGTCCAAACCCATCCCGTCCTGTCCCGCCTCGTCCCATCTTGTCCGTCCCTTGTCGTCCCGTTCTGTCCCGTCTCCTCTCGTCTCATCCCGTCTCGTCCCGCCTCGTCCAAACCCGTCCCGTTCTGTCCCGTCTGAACGTATCTCGTCCCGTCCCGTCTGGTCTCAGTTGTTTGCTTTCTTTTCCTAATGCCATTTTTTTCTTTAAAAAGTAAATTAATATGTAATTCTATAACTTCAGGGCCTTCCCCCACCTGAAAGTCTTAATGTCCTCCCACTCTCCTCCTCAGACGTCTTCCACATCCAGGAGCTGTCGTCGTTGTTCCTGCAGGTGAAGACGGCGTTCGGGTTGCGTCTGCAGTACAGCTGGAAGGAGTTTCGTCTCTACCTGCAGGCCGACGAGCTGTGGAAGGACGACACGGTGGGGCTGTGCGGCACCTTCAACGGCAACATCCAAGACGACTTCCTGTAAGTGTGCTCCGGCTGACCTTGGACCCCTCCCGCGCCCTCCGTTAACCCTCCCTGCAGCGACAGAGAAAGAGAGAGCGAAAGAGAGCGTGGTCCTGTTTCAGAGGCGGGGAGGGAGGTGATGGAGAAGTGCTCTCTCTCTCTCTCTGTAATGCACACTTGCCGGGCGGCTCGGCATCAAAAGCCTTGCTCTCTGATCGGCTCTTTAAGGCGGGCCAGATGAGCGCCCAACTGGACACGCCACTTCAACAAGGAATTTACTGTTAGTGGAATAGGGGCTCCACTGTACGGTACTGTAATGGCCGACCGTAGAGGGCGGATGTTGTCTAACAGCTGTAAATGGATATACATCACAGTCCGAGTCTGAAGTGGTCGTTTGCTGAAAGAAGGAAAGCCGGAGCTCAATGTGTCAGAAGCGTTCTTAAAACTCAGAAGTTAAAAGGATACTTCATCTTCGTGTTTGGTCTTAAAGGCAGGGTTGGTCATTTTGTACAGACTGAGGGAATGCTACTTTCAAAATCATGCTAGTTGAAAATTACCAACCCAACTGCCTTTAAATCCCTGATTTCTCTTGTGTTTATAAGCTTTGCGTTGCTATTGCTAGTCTTAAAACTACAGTAGCTACATTGATGGATAGACAGTTGTTAAGACATAATATAGACACATGTAATAAGAAAAAAGCCCAGGAGAAGACAGATGGAAAGGGCGTCTGAAGGGAGGGGAACCCAGGTGTTGTACAATCAATTATAAGTATCACTGCATAAGTGAGCACCTCTGATTTTTAATGAATTTCTGCTCTTGTTTTCTTGCAGATCTCCGTCGGGGATGATAGAAAGCACTCCTAATCTGTTTGGAAACGCCTGGAGAGTCTCGTCAGCCTGCTCCCCCAGCCTGAGTACGCCTCAGCTCGACCCCTGCGACACACACCAGCAAGCCGGTCAGTTCTTCCTGTTTCTTCCCCCAAAGAAATTACCCACTTAAATACAGAGGCTATATGTGCAACATATTTATTGCAGTCTTTATTCTACCTGTTTACAATTCTTTGATGCACTGTTTAGCATTCAGGGCTAATTCTGCAGTGGAATAAACTCAGGCAGTAGATCTTCTGTAAACACATAAAAAACCACAAAGACCTGCTCTTCCCTTCTCTTCAGTGACCTATGCCTCGGAGATGTGTGACGTCCTGAACCAGGATCTGTTCTCTGCCTGCCACGAGTACCTCAGTCCGACCTCCTTCCATCAGCAGTGTCGCTCCGACACCTGTAAGTGTGGGACACCTTGCCTCTGCTCGGCGCTCGCACACTACGCCCGCCACTGCCGCAGATTCTCCGTCATCATCGACTTTCGATCGCAGATACCCGACTGTGGTGAGCATTCAGCGTCTTACAACACTGACACATTATGAGTACAGGTCAGGGGTGCCGGGTTGTCTTTGGTTTGACCTCCTTCATTTACTGACACCAGAATGTAGAAATGAAATTAGGTGATTTGTTTTGGAAGAAATCACAGATCTGTAGGGTATCATCCTTGACTTTATTCCTACCCTCATGTTACCTTTCAGACCTTTTTTTTGTTAAGATTTTTTTTGGGCTTTTTGCCTTTGATAGGACAGTGGAAAGAGTTGGAAATCAGGAGAGAGAGAGAGAGTGGGGAATGACATGCGGGAAAGGAGAAACAGGACGTACTTGAACCAGCGCCGCCCTCTTTGAGGACTGTAGCCTCAGTACAAGGGGCGCAACCTGCCCATTAGGTCATCAGCACCCCAGACTACTTTGTGTTTTCTCTGAAATTGGCCTTCTGGGTGTTGATGTCAAGCTTCAGACTTAGAAAATGTGCATTTGGGAGCTCTGTCAGAATCATAGAGTTTGTCTTTTACTCTGAATGAGGTTGATATCACTTAAGAAGCTCTCTTATGACAAGAGGAGCTACATGAGCACCTAGAAGCATAACATCAACTTTTTTTTTCTTTTTTAAAGGTTTATTTTGGGGCTCTTAATGCCCCCCGTTTTTAGAAACAGGACAGTGAATATAATCTATAACCCCCCAGATAGTTTTTCAATCAGACTCTCCATCACTCTTTCAACCCGTCTCTCCGTGCAGCGCTCACCTGTCCTCCAACAATGGAGTATGGCACCTGCGTGTCGTCCTGCCAGCGCCGTTGCTCCGCCCTCTCCATCCCGCAGCACTGCGGGGAGGAGTGTGAGGAGGGCTGCGTCTGCCCCCTGGGATCCTTCTACAACCATCGAACACACTCCTGTGTGCACAGGTAAGGCTGATTGCAGTCTCTGAGCAGAGAAAAACACAGAAAAAGTAGATTGTTAAAACAATACTTTTAATGATTTTAATTGTTATAACGTCTTATAAGTGAGGAGTACAAAATGCTTTTATTAAGGATACATGCAAAGTAAGATACAAGCACATCATGTTGAGAATAAACTAAAAGATTAAATGTTAAATTAAATCATGAAAAGCTAAAACTGGAGAAATGAATAATACAACATAAAACAGTTGGTTGAACAAAAGAGCTGTATTGTTGTTGTTTTCTTTTAAAGGTTTATTTATGGGCTTTTTACACCATCATTGTAGAGACGTATGTAGGACAGTGGATAGAGTTGTAAATCAAGGAGAGAGAGAGAGTGGGGAAAAACATGCAGGAAGGAGGCCACAGGTCAGATTTGAACCTCATTGAGGACTCCAGCCTTCTTTCATGGGACGTGTGCCTTAACCACTAGGCCACTGGCGCCCTGAGAGCTGTATTGTTTTTGCGGAAAATAACAGAACAACAAGAGAGATTTTTACTTACCACACAAACAGGGAGTTTTTTTATAAAATTGAATATTTTCCTGCTGTTGTGAGTTGGAGAAATCTGAGAAAAATGTGACATCTTTGTTGTTTTAGAAAAGATAGTTTTTAAGGAAATCTGCAGCCGGTTTGTTTGTTGTTCATCGTTGCAGCTTTAGGTTTGCATGCTGCCATGTTGTAGGTTTGCAGCCAGTTGAACTGTAAAAGGAGCTGAAGACGCTCCACCACACAGATACAAGATCTAAGTGATATTTGTATTTCCTCTGGAGTTTAGGTCAGCCTTTAAGTGGAAAGCCTTGCATCTTCCCTGCAGACGTTCACAGAACCGGAGGACCTCGGTAATTGTGCTCTCCCTTTCAGGCCAGCTCTGCCCTGGAAGACGTTTCAGCTTAATTCCTTTTAAATGTCCCAGGTTTTTACATCCTAGTGGCCGCGCGGTGCCTCACTTAACATGTGATAGAGTTACATCGAGGAATTCACCGTGAAACCCCCCTTTCATTCCCACTCGGTCTGGGGACGATACAGATATCTGATAACCAGTGAGAAAGAATTTGTAGTACAGAGGCCGATGTGTGGCGCTGGTTTATAGATGCAAAGATTTCAGCCCTCGATAATCACAGTCCAACACATCATATTTATTTATGGTATGTTTGTATAATGAGATGTTTTTTAATGGAGGTTCGGTTGTGGATTTGACACCTTCAGCACTGATTTCACCTCTTTAAGCCTGCTTATCTGCCCCCTCTCCCCTTACCTGTAATACTCTGTTTAAGGTAACACAAAGCCCTCTTTAACATCAATCTTTACACAATAATGACACTAACTGAGCCCTGTCGGGTTAACATCACCCAGTGCCTGGTGTGTAAGTATTTAGGAGCTTTCTGAAGACCTTTGGACATAAAGTCACACTCTCATCAGGGAGCTGGTTTCACATGTGATCCATCGGGCGTGTTTTCTTTTGTTTGCCTTCCCAGGAGCGACTGTCCCTGCAGTTTCCTCGGAGCAGATTATGAACCTGGAGATGTGATCATGACGTCAGCAGGTGTTCAGTAAGACCTTCTCCTTCATTTCCTTCCTCCTAAATACTCAACCTAACACACATGCATACCTTGTAGAACTAGAACCAGCTTTATTGGCCTGTTGTGTGAGCACATACATCATAATGAACACATAAATGTAGCGTTGAATCCTGAGTTAAATTGATCACTGCTGGCAGAAGAAAGAAAAAGACTAAACACAAAAGAAAGAAAGCAGGCGGCATGAGAGAAAAACACTTTCAAAGTAAAGAAAAAGGTTTCAGATTAGCCTACATGTGTAGCTATGTTAATCACGTGTAGTTTTTGTATTTATCATTATGTATCATCATCATCATCATCTTATCCTCTATGTTCCTCTGCAGAATCTGTCTGAACGGTAAACTGGTCTCCCAGGCAACAGACAGTGGTGAGTCAATTCAATCACGTATCTTTTTCACTTCATAAGCTCATTATAAAATGCAATGTTCACCAGGTTTCATTAAAGGAGCAATATGTGACTCCAACTCCTAGTGGTTAAAATGGGTCTTGTGGTCTCAAATCAAAACATTGTAGAGAGCTGTCTCCCCCGCCCCCTCCTCTCTAAAGTAGATGTTCACACAGGTTGCCATGTGGTGGACGCTCTGCATCGGTCTGTAAACCTTTCTGTGTTCTAACCTCTCTCCATTTTTTAAAAAGCATCTCCAATATTGATCCTAGTTTGAGCACGTTTCTGCTCTTGGAGCCTTAAAACCGCCTACCTTCAATCCAGAGCATTCAGGACCAGAATCTAAAGTTAGAAGGAGGACATACTGGCTTCTGCATTGTTGTTAGAGAAGCCAGCACTTCAACATTCAGCATGTTGTTGTTAGTAAGGTCATTTTATGGTTGTGAGTACTAGTCATGGAATTCCAGATCCTGTTTTCAAATGACTTTGTCATTGATAGAACTTTCTTTTTGACATGATGATTTATAGCTTCTTCTTATGTTGTGTCTTGACAGTGAGACTCTTTTCCATCATTGCAGCATTTTCTGACCTGTGTCTTTCTCCCCTCGTCCTCCTTCAGACATGTTGTGTCCGTCCGGTCAGCTCTACCAGAACTGCTCAGAGGGAGAGGACGGCTTCTCGTCAGGAAGGGGTGTGGCCTGCGAGCGGACCTGTGAATCGTACCTGCTCAACCTCACCTGCTCCACACACGAGCCCTGTGTGGCCGGATGTACCTGCCCTCCTGGGTGAGTGACGCCCTGAAAAAAAGTACCAAATATTTTATTATCAACAGAGAGAGGTTAGAACGCAGAAAGGTTTACAGACAGATGCAGAGCTGGCTAAACACTGAAGCTTCAGTGTCCACCACTTGGCAATCTGCGTGAGCATCGACTCTAGAGAGGAGGGGGTGGGGGGAGACAGCTCTCTACAATGTTTAGAATTTGAACTGCAGTACCCATTTTAAATGCTACATATTGCTGCTTGAAGTTTAAATATGCATCACTACTGTAAAAATGTTGTTGTAAAAAAAGTGAAAGGGAAATTGCTGTTTTGTGGCTTCCAGGTTGAAATCATTTAGTAACATGAACTTTTAAGAATCTCGCTGCAGATGTCCTTGGTCAGCTGTCGGGTATGTCAGTGGTTCAGGGCAATGCTGCAAAAGAGCGTGACCTTCCTGAATGACTGAGTAGGTGTGGTGAAATCTAAAGCTCTGAGTCAGTGTGTCACAGAGGCTTGGTTAAGGATGGCCAGGCTGTAGGCGGGTTAAAGGCAGTACAAATGTCACATGAGGCAGGAATAATCCTCTGACTCTTTCCCTGGCAGCATGTCAAGCATCAAATAATCCCTGTGACTGATGAAGCTGGTTACCTGAGGGGACGCAGGGTGTCTTCATTGAATCAGCTGTGATTTATTCAGACAGGAGATCTGCTTTCACAGAGGAGTTTTTTTTTAACTCCAATATAATACTGAAAGTTAAGTTTGTGTTTGTAACGCTGAGAAAAATGTACTCTTTATTCACAAAAGGATTGTTTTGCCTTTGTGCCAGCTGTACCTGTGTGAATGAGACAAAAAGGACACATGGAAGGGTTAAATTCTCACCAAACTACACTGCAGAGCAAATGGAGTTTATGCTGTGGGAATGTTAGCCTATATTAAAATCATGCATTCGTTTGTGGCAAAACTTTCATGTAAATGAGCTTGAGAGCAAAAGGTCAACGCAGTAAGAGTGAAAAAATAACCATCTGCTGAGATTTGCTGGTAACTGCAACACAGCACAACCACATCTGTTGAGTCTCAACTCACAATAAACTGGGAAACGTGTCATTCCCCTCCCCACTCATCTCATTATCCGTATGGGGACAGGTCAGCCCCATCAGGATGAGGGGGTCATTTCAGGCAGCAAAGAGTGGAGATGCAGGCTCCTCCTCTCCAAAATCAGATCCAAAACAAGAGTACGCAACGCAAAGACCGACAACTTTATGGGCCTGTTTGAATTTCAGTTGAAAAGTGTAAGACATTTGCACCCGGGTGCAGATTGTGCACCAATGGCCTGATGGTTTATTTGGCCTGCTGTGATCAGTCAATGTGAACGGTAAGAATGAGTGAAGAGACCTCTCTAAACATCTCTCTGTTACATCATAGCAATAATGAGTGCTGCAGAGCCATCATAAAATATTGGAGGCTGTTGTGGCGACTGTTTTAACTGAATGTAAAAAAATGTAGAACGAGGGACGTGGTTAGTTTACACACAGTTAGTGGTTCATGTGGACAGGGTGGTCCGGGATGGAGTCAAACTCCTGGCCTGAATTATTATCCCAGTCCGCCCCTGTTTGTACCCCACTACACTGATGTTCTTCACTGCTATGCTGCCATTTGATGAGTCTTAGATCATCTGTATGAGACAAAAGTCCTCACAGCAGCAGATGAGCTGGACAGACATGGTGGAGTAGATTACAGTCATCTGATATCTATAATCCCCTCTGGCTGTCGGCCTGAAAGGAGGGTTAAGTGGTTTCTTTCTGTGACATCAACGCAGAGTCACACTGATTACAAAATGCACAGACAGGGGGTCAGTTTGTAAACATCCAAGCTTACGACAGATTTGATCGCAGACTGACTAAACAGGAGGGCTTCAGTTGTCAGATTCACAGCTGATGTTTTCAGACTCGTGAGGTATTTTATTGTTAACTCTGTTCATTACAACAGGATACAGAACAAACACGAGAAGAAACAAAATGTAAACAGCTAGAATATTGAAGCTGATGTCTTGACTCGTTCTTGCCCTGCCTTGGTCTTGGTCTTGACTCGGTCTCAATCCCTAAATGTCTTGGTCTTGTCTTGGTCTAGGCGCAGTCTGGTCTCAGATATGGTCTTTCTGTGGTCTTGACTACAACACTATCTCAGATTGAGGGCCGCGTAACTATCAAGTGCATATTGGATACAAATGACATTATATATTATGTAATTGATTCAAAGGAGTCAGGTTTATGTACTAACACAAACTCCTAAAGGCCGAACTAATGAGCCACATAAACTAAAAATACAAAAGTAGAATCAGCTCTGAATCTTTAAATCTATAAAAACACAAATACTTGACAAGACTTTATTTGAATCTATTCTTTCTGATGTTTTTTTAAGTATGCGACGGACATTTGTCAACACCAGAGCCCAATACTGATCTGTTTGTTTGTATTCTCAATAAATCAAATCAATGTATAGAGCATTTTACAGAAAGAAGTGAACTAACAATAATGATGATTTAATTGGTTGGCTGGCTAAACACTATTTAGTCTTTAGAGTTCTAAAAAAATTGGGGCCAAAAAATTGGGCCCCAAATCATCTAGCGTGAAGCCAGCTTAAAATAGTTGAGAATAATTTGTACTGAGATTTCACAGTTTATAGAATGTTTTTTTTATTTTAGATATAAAATGAAACACATGAGAGGTAAATAACAATACAGTGTGTACCACATTTCGTGATGTTTGCTGCCAAAGTAAAACAAGCTCTGTAGCACCAATTGAACCTATTTTTGGTCAAATAAGTTACACACAGGTAAAACATGTGAATAACCTTTCTCCTTCTTCAGTCTATAAATAGCATATGATTGTATCAGTGACACAAGTGAAAAGGTCTGATGGTAACAGAGATATGCTGTAGTCACTCTGACTCTGCGTCACCTCTGCTGACCTCCCTGCTGTGATTCATTGGTTCCCTATTCACAACCAAGATGACCTTTATAGTGACGAGAACCTCTCAAACTCTTAATCACATAACGTCAGTCATGTTGCAAGAGTTTAATAAATCGCTGGTACCTGATAGTTTGAGGCTAATTTAGAGGTTGATATGGACACAAAGAGATCTCCTTTAGCTCCACACAGCTGTAGTAAAAGTGGAGGGATGAAGTCTGACTCAGATCAAACAAAGCAGGCTATAAGAAGAAGATAAACTTAATAATCCTGCGAGAGGGGAAATTCAGTTTTACACTAACACACAAATAGGCTGAAATACACACACATGCACCAACAGGATCCTATGGGGAGATGTCAGAGTGAGGGGGCTGCCCTCAGCGAGCGCTCCTGTGTTCATGTGCCTTGCTCAAGGGCACCTCGGCAGTGCTAAAGAAGTGAACTGGCCCCTCTCCAGCTACCAGTCTGCACCAGGACATGAACCGGTGACACTCCGGTTCCCAACCCAAGTCCCTACTTTCACCTGTCTCATAATTGGCTTTGCAAATGTTTCAAATGAAAAGAAAGGAACGTGCAACATTTCAAACATTAATGACTGAATAAATCGTTGAGTAATTACTGCAGTCAAACTCCCCTCTGGGTTTGCTGTTTGAGCTTTGTGTTCACACTGATGGGACATTGCTTCCTTCAGCTCGTTAATGTTTCTCTTCGAGGCTCAAACATGTTTCATACATTTTTTTAAAAACATATACCATCCCCAACTCTTAGCCCTAACGCAACATGGGTTCGAAGAGTGACAGCCCCGCCCACTCAGGGACGCTGTATGTTGAGGCACATTAGCGGAGTATCATACCGACGCAGGCTTCCCAACCCCAAGAAAAAACATTATTTTGGCAAAAATTACTCAAAAAAATAATTTCAGAATCAATCAAATCTGTAGATGAATATGAATATTGATCATCTACTAATGGCTGCACTGGGTTGGAACACTGAGAGGGAGTGGTGCGTTTTCTTTTAGTTTGAGAGACAAATGCAGAAGTGTGACATCTACTGGACATCAACTCTGTAAGTCACATATTATACTTTGAAGGACAAAAGGAAATCAGTATGAAAATTAAGAAAACCTATCAAGCCAAGTGCAGTGAATGAATCTGTGGTGCAAAACGTTGACAACGAGCTGGCTTTTTCGTTTTCTTGTCAAACCCAGACAGCAGATGATCAGCAGGTGTTCCTCGTGTCGGTTTATTACGACTCTTAGATGATAATCATGGAAAGAGAAAAAAAAAAACACACACGACTCACAGGTCTACTGCAAGGTATTCATCTGCAGCAAGACTTAAAAACCTCTAATGGGGAATAATTAGCTGAGTTGCTGACAGAAGAATTCATTGTGTTTCATTCACAATGGCACACTTTGTTTATGATCAAAATGTAGACCATTCATTCCTACCTCATTCTGTGAAAATTAGCCCAGCTGAACTCATGTGAACCTGGACTTTCAGGTGCAGACCAGGACCATCCAGCATACCAGAGTTTGGTTTACTGTACACAAATACATCCGCTGTAACAGCAAGTTATCTGCTTGCATACAACCCTGACCAGATTCAACAGAAGTAATGATATAAAGTAGAGATGAGGTGGCGCAGAAACTATCTGGAAAACAAAACGTACAAGTTATGACAGCTTCACCCCCAAACCCTTAACTATGATTGGCTCTTTGCCTTGTCAGAGGCGGGACTTATGTTAAAATCAATTATTCAGACTGCGATGCAACAGGCAGTTAATAGTTTTAAGTGTGCAATTATAAAATACATTTAAATTGTGACTTTGGACATATTTGTTTTGAGTCCTTGAAGAACTAAGTGGAGAAGATGAAGGCTATATGTTGCCGTTATCTGGTGTTACTTAACAGATAATTTGATGAGTGCAGACAGAAGGGCGTATACATTCTCTTTATTCATGTGTGTGCACACAAACTTCAGGTTACCCCTGCACAAGTCAGTGCACCAGCCGGGCCACCCCTGTTGGGCCACCCCAGTCAGAAAAGTCTTGACACGCCC